ATATGAAAGAGGACCGTTTATGTCACTGACTTTTTTTTAATACACTATACATACATTATATAAAAAAATAATAACCTCGTCTTATTTTAATTCAGATTAAAAGAATTGCAAATACGCCACAATTACAGTTTTTAAAATTCAAGAACGACTTTCCACAGTGACATCATTTTGTATTTGTTGTAGGCATTTGACTTTGGTCAATGGTAAAATGTTTTTTTTATGACAAATTGACGACGTTGGGTTTGTTAAGTTGTAAATTAGTTGATTTTTTGCCGCGACTTCGTCAGTGTCAGTCGTCAGAATTATATGGCCTATAACACCCGCGTATGGTGTAACTTTTTGTTGATGAATTTTACAAATTGGTCCAATCATTTCCGAGTCTATTCGATACAAACAAACAAACAATCTAAGCTTTCCCCTTGACAATATTAGTATAGAAAGAAGATGCGCGCAAAAATTGAAGTTAGCATTATCGATTGAGTTTGTCGAAATAATTAATCAAATCAAACAAACAGACGAGACTATACTGACTTTAATGTTAATATTATATGTATGATATATTTTTAGAGATCCGTAATCATATGGTTAAACGGGTCCGACTAAGACTCCGCTGCTTATTTAGTTCTAGTTTTGGCCACATTTCGGTACTCGCCGCCCCAGACAGTGAGATATATTCGTTAATTTACTTGTTGTAAATTTGTTCGCGCATCCACGGGAGCCATTTTCCGCTTATGCCGTAAGCGTGAGTTAACTTTTGTTAATGCCGGTTTACATTAAAAATTCAGGTACTTTGACTATGTAACTTTGAATATGATACGATACTTCACTGATATAATTGAACTGGTCGTTTGAATATAATGCTCTACACCGCGAGAGCGCTGTGCTCAAATAAAACCTCTATTACCTTTTGAAATAGGTTTTATTTGATTAAACCCCTATGCTACGATAGCACTGCTCTCGAAGTTGAGTCCGAGACTGTTTTTATAACAGAACGTATAACAGTACGCAGTTTCAACGCTTTCGGGGTTTCCTTAGGTCAACTTATAGAAGCCGGTGGTTCCCGATCGCATCTGGAACATACGGGACGTTTATTTTTCATTTTGTCATTGTCAGCCTTTTAGTGTCCCCACTGTTGAGGCTCAGGCCTTTCCTATTAATGGAATCAAATCGGGAGTCATTGTCCCTGACCCACCACGCTAACCCAGTGTGAATTGGTGGGTGTCAACTACAGCACATGCAGCCGGGATCAACGGCTTAGTGTGCTTTATAAAGCACGATGCAGCTGTAAATTTTTGGTCAGCCATCCTATGGCAGGCTGTTGCGAGAGTTGCTTAACAACCGTATCGCAGACCGAGCGCGCTAACCACTGCGAATTTAAGCTCATCATTTTATATATCTATAAAGATATATCAATATAATATTAAGTAACTATGCTTTACATAAATTATCAATATAATCTAATGGCTGATTTATATGTAATTAAGTAGATTTTAACTTAATTTTAAGTGATTAAGTAAGTACACAATAAGTAATAAGAAAAAATTTAGGTAACTATTTATGAACTTAGTTAAATTTAAAATTACAAACTACTTGTCTACTTAATTACGTGTACCAGCTATTAATAATTATGATATAAGTACTTAGGGGAAGTTTGGCACCATTCGTACATGGGGAACCTTCATACAGTCACTACTACATCTTGTAGAAAAGCCTATTTATTAAGACTTTATGTTAGTGGATAGGCGCTGGCGACTGCCAGTTGTCCACGAAGTTAGCCACACATGCAGCCACTGCGAGCGAAACTAGAGAACTTAAAGTGTTTTGGCATGCTCATAGTAAATATTTTGTTAATGTTTTTGGATCTTCCGTGCTTTAATCATACGTCAAATTTTATTGGATTATTGCTTAATTGTAAGTGAATACGATTAAGATAATAATATATATCCATATTGTGTATTTTTCCACGTGGGTTTTGTGTTAGAAAAAATAATTTTATTATTGATCTCCGGGGCACGTTCGTACATTTCCAGAAAGGGCACATTCGTACGCGTATGTGTGTACCCCGCTAACAATTTTTATTATTATATCAGAAAATTTAGAAAAAAAGATCGGAATTTTAAGAAGAAAAGGCAGACACGTTACCAATATTAATTAAATGAGTTTTTTTTTGCGTCTGTAAAATGTGTTTTTTAAATAGTAAAAAAATGTTTTACTGAACCAATTGAAAAAGTTCATAAACACATTTCGGACTCACGATATTGGAAGTCACAACACTATCAAATGATTATGATAAAGTTTTGAAAGATAAATGTTTGCAAAATTGTTATGGAATTGGCTTCGCTGATATAGAATGGATGCACAGTTTTCGTAAAAAGATAGTTAGACTCTAAGCCTATTAGTCGTATAGTTTATTACATCGTTGATAAGTTTATGATCAATGAAAACGATTTTTTTAATTCATTTGTTTTTTTTACTTAATATATATGAAGTTACCACACTGTCAGAATGTTCCCCGGCCCATGTACGATTGTACCCCTTAATAGGGGTAGATTCGGACATTTCATTACCTTTTAGTAAAATTCAATCCTTTGATATATTATACAAGATATCGACTTTGAACTTTTTAAATAAGGAGCAGAAAGTATGCTTTATATTTTAATAAGTAATTGAGTAATTTATCTTTGATTATCAATATTTTAAAAATCATTGACTAAAAAGTGTACGAATGGTCCAAATCTTCCCCTAAGTAGGTGGTATTTTTAGATTTACGACCCATAATTTCTTAGATGGAAATTTTTAGGAACACAGTCCGAATAATAGCATTGAAATTATGTCAGCCAACTGTTTATTTGCAAGCATTAAGGGAAACTTGCAGCATTTGCCTGCATTACTTCAATCGCCCCTTATATTTATCAGGCACCTAGGGTTGCCACCCTCGGCCCACACATGTAAATATATCTCGAAGAGACGCCGCTTTTGAAAAACAAAAGGAAAATTCTGTGAAATGTTCGCTATAAATTTGAGCTACTCACGGGAGTTGTGCCGTTTGCATGCGGCACGAGTAGGGTCACCACGCATCTGTGTGGATATTTTAATGTATTCACAATGTTTTTTATTTTTTTTTATTGTAAAATATGTATATTGATTGCACCCCTATCATTTAAATATTCTTCTTTTATTACGTCGCGTTATACGTTTTACGTTTCAAAAACTAAGTAATTATCTATTAGATTTTTTTAATTAAAAATCAAATCTCGATCCCAATACCTGTAGTAACATATATTACAGTAAGATTTTAAAATGATTATATTACAGTAAGAATCACTTAAATATAGCCATGTCACTCCGTCAGCATTGCTCTTTGCTGCATTGCTTAATAATATTTGAACTTTCACAGAATCTTGTTAAAATAAAGTATTGCAATCATATAATTATAAGATTAGATCGAATTCGGAGATACATTCTGTTGAATACATAGTTCAAAGTCTGAGAGTAACTCAAGATTTGGTTACAGTAGTCCGGCAGGCGGTACTGCCCAGAGCAAGTCGCGGGCATTGTGCCGACTCCGCCATGATTTCCCGCGTGGAGTGCCTGCCGCTATACAATAATACTGCGGATATTTATCTCGTGTACTACTTATATACTACACACTACGATGAACAAACCAATTTAATTAGGACCTCTTTAACCACTCGAGGAGAATAAGAAAAAGAGACGAAACACTATGATCGATAAGCGCCAAAACAGTTCTTAAGTAATTATTGCATGCCGTAACTTTTATTGTAAACTAACAGTTCAACCTCGACTTCTATATAGCCTAAATCATCCCCGTGAATCGTAGCTTCTCGATCGTGAAAGATTTTTAAAATTAATCCAAAAGTTTCGGTGTCTATTCAATCCAATCCTTCCTCTTTATCTTATTAATATATATTAAAAAGGTGAAACAACGCAACTTTGGATGTTTGTTACTTCTTCACGCAAAAACATACTGATAGGACTTTGATGAAATTTAGTGTCTCTACGGATAATTCTAATCAATTTATAGGCTATTATTTTTCCCACTAAGCAGTTCCCTAGAAACCACGCGGGTGAAGCAGCTAGTAATATATTTTAAAAGTCTTTGTTGTTATAAGTGGCACATATTTATCACCGAGAAGAACCAGAAAAAATCCGACTTATAGAATGGAAAAAACGCATAATTACACACGTTTTGACTGTGACAAAACGCTTAAACGTCGATTATGTATATGATGCTTTTTGTTTTTGTAAAAAAGTTGAAGAAGAAAAGAAGTATTAGAGATCTGCTATTTTTTTTATGGAATAGGTGGCAGTCGAGCAGACGGATCACCTGATGGTGAGTGATTACCTCCGCCCATGGACACCTGCAACACCAGAGGAGCTACAAGCGCGCTGCCGGCCTTTGAGGGACGAATAAGCTAATATTTAAAACTTTATCTTATATATAAAAATGAATCGCAAAATGTGTTGGTAAGCGCATAACTCAACAACGCCTCGACCAATTTGGCCAAATCTTTTTTTAAAATGTTCGTTGAAGTTCAAGGATGGTTTTTACGGAGAAAAATTAGAATTATTGCTGGAAAAACCCTAAAAATAGCCCTTTTCTTTTTCCCATACAAATGATTTGTAACTAAAACGTAGTCAATTTGAGCTTTATTGCTATGGTATAAAGTTCATATTAAATTACAAGCACAATACGTAGGCAAAAAAACTGCCACATTACAAATCTTTTTGACAGGACGAAGTCTGTCGGGTCAGCTAGTTGAATCTAAAAATAAGTATTAATAACATATATCACCCGTTCAGAAAATATTAAGAGGAACAAATCGGCAGAATGAAATCCTGTCTTCTCGTAGTCCACGATATCATACCATCCATGGGACCCAAAATGAGCTATTTCTTACCCCACCACTAACTAAAGTTGTGGATTCATTTTATTTTTTTCGTAATATGGGTATATCTATAAATTAAAACGATTATCAATATCATTAACATTTTAATACAAATAAATAAACTACATTCATCAATGTAATCATACAAATAAATAAACAAATCATCCGGAGAATACAATATAAGTAAAAAATGAAAACCAAATACATATGTAAATATTTCAGCTTCTTTGGCGAACTTTCTAAGGAATAATATGAACCAATCACTTGTTATAACAAAAATATGGGTTCAAACATAATGGAAGTACCTATTATGTTGTACTTAATTCATATTGTTATCATAATAACTATTATTATATTTACAATTGTACCAAATTAATTATGGCACATCAAATTAAGGCACAAATAATAAGCCTCAACGGCTCATTAATTAGTTACATAAGACGATTCATAATATTATATTTTAGTGTTACGTATTAATAATTTCAACCATTTTATGATTATAGTGTACCAGTTAACAAAGTATTACAATTATCGAATTTAATCTTACTCTACAATAATCTCAATCCGAAAAATGCAAAGCTTAAATGCAACACCCCTGTACCCTTGGAACCATTGTAGTTAAAATCGAGCACAAATTTCAAGTTTCACCTAATCACATATTAATATTTATTGATTGCGTCAAAGAAGGCAAAAGAAAATACTTATGGAATTGTTGGTATGTAATCATATGAATTATCGCACAGAACTCGTATATCATTCACTTAGTAAAGATAAGAAGATGTGTTTGTTTAGTTCGTCTCCTTCGGCTCAGCTATGCCATTCTGTGATGAAATCAGCGTAGAATAAAATCAACATATTTTATTACAGAATAACACTGCCGATTGAGCAACAATGTGAGGTATCTTTGTGCACATATAAAAACAAAAAAACTGATAAAGGTGCCCGATATAAAAACATGTTATGAGCACTTTATTGAACTTACTGTGAAACGAACAAAATATACTATGGCACACTTTTGAAAGTCATAATATGTGCCACTGTTCAATTTACTACTTATATGTATGAAAATTAAGAAAACTATAAACATGTTTATTGTTGTAATATAGGTTAGAATTCGGAGAGAAAAACAAATGTCCAATCCATCCAATAATCCAGGAAATAACTTATTATTAATAAAGGCACAACTTTTGGTTCTATTCAAAGACATAAAAACGAGTATTTAAAGTAATATTCTTAGATAGTATATGTATTCTTGATAATATCTTGAAATCTAATGGCCCACAAAAATTAACTAAGATAATTGATGGAAACTACTAGTTTTGATCTCGACGGAGACATAAACATTTCAAAAATATAAAGTTTAGAGATATAATACTCCTTCCCAATTCAAATACAAGAGTTTGTACTTATAATGGAGAGAAATACCTTATTCAGAAGTACAGTCGCTGTACTGAAAGAATTTCGTACAATGACCAGACATTACATATCTAAAATAAATGACAAAAATCGACAAATGAGTTGTTTTTTTAAAGAGACATTTCCACTTTCAATAAAAAATGTACTTAAGTGAATTTAAAAACTAACAAAACAAAATCGAGAATAAAATATGTATATATAGTATTAACTTTTATTTATTTTGATGATATTTATTTATCGGCTAGGAATCTTTTGAAAAAATATAAAAAATATGCAGTTGCTTGATTGTTCTGGACAAGCTATTTTCGACATTGTATATGTTAATAATTGCTACTTTATAATATAAGACCTAATTTTATAATTATTTTGTAAATAGTTTTAGTTTGTACACTTAAATTTTCTTTACAAAAATTATTTAAACAATAATTCACTTTAAACGAAAAAGAAATGAAATAAGCAAACAATATTTAAGGTAATGGTAAATCGGTTCATCAAAATACAAAAAGCATAAAAATCGTAAAACAGCTTATCCTAGCCACTTACCACTGAGGTTAACGAGTCTCGTGTAGTTTGAGACATTTGAAATAAGACGTATATAAAAATCACTTACATAAAATTATCGAGAAAAAAATGCATCTGACTTTTGCGGACACGCATTTACAATCACGTTTCATTTCTTATTTAAACACCACACAAACTGACCTTCGTTATTCAAAAAATATTGTGCGATTTCATTTTAAAACTGTTAAGAAATACATACATAAAAAACTTATGAGCTACCATATACATTTTCAACTCCTATTTCATGCCCTCTGTAAGCTTATTATTTAAACCGTGAATGCCCAACAATTTTAATTAAAATCTCGACAGCATTTTTCTCACCATAAATTACGTGTTTTAAGTCGCATACATAGGCGTATGTAAGGCTACTACAGTTTTTTATTTGGGCGCTTCCTAGGACCATTTAATTATTCGTCTTCAAATTCTGTTACTGTTGCAGAAAACATACACACATATTAACTTTAATGAAATTTTAAGTTTAATAAGACACTTAGATAATAACACGAAACAAATCAATAAAGATAAGTTATTATATTATTAATTCTGTCTCGGTTCAACAGTTAGACATTATTGTATAATAGCATAGTTTTCTGGACCAATACTTATTATGAAAATTTTAACTACTTTTCTGTCAATATTTAATTGACCTTTAAATTAGTTTATACCTTTAGTTCTGAATGACATAATTAAACAATTTAAGATGGCATCCGTAACAAAATGGTGGATCTTTCTTTAAAAATAACCGTTGAAGATCAACATTCAAATGCATATAAAGTTACGCAGAGATTCCAGAATCGTGCCGCGAGCAATTTTTATAATAAAAGGTATGTGTCTACCATTTTGATATATATGTCGCAGCTTATCTGAATGCGTTAGACCGAGGAGGTCCTTCAGTCGGTTCGAGCACGATACGCTTAAAGCATCCTTCTGGCAGCTGCTCTAATATATCGCGCACGTTGTCAACTTCTAAACGAAGCTCTTCGTGCTCGTCTTGATACTGTTTCATCCACCTAAGGAAGTTAAAGAGAAAATTAGTATTATTATAAGTTTGATAGCAAATCGAGCCGAAAGAATCCGAAGGAGGATCGAGTTTCTTCATTTGGGTTTAGACCTTAATTCGTTTAGGGTACATTACAAGATCATCTGTGTGTTATTTTGTTTTTCTTTTTAATTGTAATATTTTTGGTGTAAAGAATTTTATAATGCTAATTTTTTGCTGCGAATAAATGAAGTATCTATCTATCTAATTGAACATGTTGATAACCTGACATCTAGCCTATTAGTAGTCCCACATCTAAGTTATAAGCCGTCCCCGTGGAAAGATACACAAGGAGAATAACTCATGAATAGAAAGGCTGCATGTATAGTTGGAACCCACGATTTAGTATTTTCACAGCACGAAAGTGTTTAAAATAGGTGACGCGTTTTACTGCACGGAAAGAGGCCGTGCGACTGTTTTAGGCACCGATGGATCTTGAAATTTGACAATCCCCTTTTTAGTGAGAATTGCAGTAATGCCTTACCATAATTTAAAAAAAAGACCGAGAAAACAATATACCTGTGATGATTATTCTTCGCTTCTAAGAGGGATTTTATCTTTTCATCCAGGTCAACAGCGCGAAGTGCCTTCTCAGCTGCATCTAAATTATCCTCTGGAAATATACAGAATAAATTATATATTACAATTTACTTTGTTGTCATTCAAACTCAGATGTAGTATTATTAGCCTCAAAGTAAGAGGATGATAAATGACCACACGAATTACTAGATTCGTAAAATAACAGGTATTCTACCTGAATCTGTTTGAGACTCTGTTACGTTTTATGTAATTGGCTATATCTCATATGATACAAAATTTTGTAAAATACTATATATTTACATGTAATTTACAACACAAGATTGTGAAGTTTACAGACTCTGTTTTAAGATATAAAAAGTCAAATTAAATAACACACTAAAAATATTGTAAACTTTTTGAATTAGTGAAACCCTGACTTTACAGTATCCACAGATTGCTTGAAATATAAATAGCAGCTGAGATTTAGACATTTAAACATTTTTCAATAAAAAATACTAACGAAGAAGGTCTAGTGCTGCGTCATCGAGGTTGGGCAGATTCTGGAGTTCATCCATTATGACCTTCAGATCTTCCAGCCCTTTGGAGACCTGTTTCTCCGCTTCCCTAGCATCTGTGTTCGCCTGACCCACCTTATAAAAGGAAGTACAATAATTTTAAGTATAATTAGCAAAAAGAAACATAAAAATAGACAAGGGGCAATCGATATCGTGAAACTGTAATAAAACGGTATTAAGAATATTTTTCTATATAACATTGTGAATGAAAAATTCATCAAATAAAACAATTTCTATATTATGAAAATACGTCATAAATATAATCCTCTATATCTATTCTGCAAGATATAGTGAACGTTATAGAAATGCTACAAACAAAGGAAATTAAGAAATTCTCTCTCAGAATATCAAAGTATTCTACCTTCATCTTGGCATCCCGTGTGAGCTGCATATTATCAGTAGCTTCTTTCTCCAACTCCTCGATTTGTTTAGCCGTTCCTTGGACACGAGCTGTAAAAAAATGTTTTCGCAAAATTAATCTACAAAATACAAATTGGGCTTGGTTGTGCAGTCGTCTGTCACCGATCACCAATCGTCAAACTGAAAGTAATATGAACACAAGAACTACCCTTAACATAAATGCACTTACTTGACAATTTGTCAGTTTCATCTCTCAATCTTACTGCATCTGCACGGGAAGTGGAAGCTTTCTTTCTTATTTCGTGCGCGGCCTGAAAGTTAGTAAGAACGTAAGAACAAAATAACTATTGTAATCACAATTGAATTGAATTGTAATCAAATGAATGAAAATTGACATAACAAGATAAATGGGCATGAGAAACTTATAAGCTTTTAACTTTAACACTACGACAATATTTTGATCATTCATTAATATACATAATATGCATTTGCGGTTTGACTTGGATGGAGAGAGAGAGAAAGAAAGGTTTCAGCGCTAACCTCTGAAGCCTTCTCCGCGTAATCCTTCTGTGCTCTTTGTGCCAGATCACGGGCATCCTTTGCTTGATCGCTGGCGCTAGCGAGCTCCTCGGCGATGCTATTGATGCTGTTCTCTGCAGCCGCCACCTTGTCCTGTATGAAGGGTACCTCTTGGGCGGCCTGGCTCGCTTGCTTGCGGGACTCTGTCACTTGATCGCTGAATTCTATTGAAATTATTTTCGTTCGTTAAGAGATAATATAGTGGGCTTTAAAAATGATAATCGGGTGTGGGTATGCCACAAATCTTAAAAAAAATGTTTGAAAAATTCATCAGTCCCAGATGCCATATGTGTTACACACACATTCCATCTTTTACAGGAAAACTGATAGAACATTTTCCTCAAATTGAATAGTTCGTATTAGATATTATTATTGAATTAATTGTATCAAATTAAAACAACCTTGCACATTCGACTGATGATCCGTCGCGCACTAACGCATACTTCTGTGATACGCTTTACAGATCTTCCGGCTCAATTGTCCCGAGTCGGTTCATATCGAGCTATTAATAAGTATAAGCGGTACTTTACAGAAGAGCGTATCAAATTATGCATTCATACTTGAAACGTAACGCACTCGATGTTTAATCGTACCATCACATACCTTTGAGTGTCTTATAAATCTCGTTCGCCTCCTTCAGCGTCGCGTTGGTAAGCTCAACATCATGTTTGGCTTGAGCATGGTGTTCGTCTAGCTTAGCCAATAAATCGTTAAGCTCGTCCTGTCGATCATGCCCTTCATCTAGAAGCTCGCGACCTCTACTGATGGCGCTGTCTAGTGTTTTTAGCGTCTCTTCATTTTCAGCGATCAATCCATCCAGCTCTGCTGATCTTGCATCGATCTAACGACAAACGAAAAACTCTTACGTTATTTGTAATATATTAATATAATAAAAATATATAAATATTAGATTGCAACGAAAATCTGTGAAACAAAGATATACAATATCCAGACATTGGCCCATAGAGACAAATTCAGGAATCAAACCCGTGACTTTAAAATAGCTACATCTTAAAACCAGTGTGCAAATCATTTAAGCTCAGTATTTGTCAAACTTTTATAATCTAAAATTGTTGCCTAAAATGAAAATGTTGGAAAAACTTAACATGGTTTTCTTATTACAAATATCGAGTCATTGCACTATAAAAGCCAAAGAGTGATGGTTTTTTTAAAAGCCAAAGGAAAATACTTTAGAACGCGGGGATATTGGGTTTGAAGTCATCACTTACAGTCCTGTTGACCTCCTCAGCGTCAGTGTGAAGTTTACTCAGCTTTATATCAGGTAAGAGTGTGGTATTGACTTCGGCGTACAGCCCGAGAGCTTCGTCGTACACTTTCTTTGCGCGATCGAGGGCTTGCTCCGCCAGTTCTGTCATACTGTTTAGTTTGCCGGTAGCTGCGTTCAGCTCGTTCGTCAGGATTTGGATTTCATTACTGCCAAAGAAAAGTTTAATTAAAAGCTTTCAAGGCTTCAATAAATCAAGCGAATGAAATGGAATAATTTTTAGATACTTAATTGAATATTATTCAAATCATATATTACCAAAAGTTTAATCAATTACCTACTTTTTCATATATTAAAAATCTGTAAAGTTACAGTGCTTAAGATATTAACCTATTGTATTTAATATATATTGAGATAGTGAAACAAACATAAAAATAAATAACTATGAATTATATAGTCTTTTGTAGTACTAATTACTCTCGAGGCTTAAGTATTTACCTAAATTAAAGTATATAATCATAATAGTTGACGAATCATCACTTGGAATATACCTGATGTTTGCCTGCTTGTTGATACCGTCTTTGGCAATCTTGTTTGCAGCTAAAGAGGTGTTGAATGCTTTCTCAGCAATGTCCTTTATGTTCCTGGCTTCGTTCTCCAGCTTTTCGGCTAAAAGGCGCGACTCTTTAGCTAACTTGGACATCTCCCCGGATTGTTTTCCAAACTGATCTGATCTATCGCGAGCTTTCGCGAGAGCCGCTGCACCTTCTCCGTCCAAATACTCTAAAGCACTCTAAAATGGAAAAGTTGACCATTTTCAAATTAACCTTATGTGTTCCACTAGCTGTGCCCGCGAGTTCATCCGCGTGGAAGGTAACCTAACTTACTCCTTATTACATAAGCTATCTGCTAGTGAAAATCCTGTCAAAATCGATCCAGCCGTTTTAGACATGAGCCACAACAAACAGACAGATAAAAAATGTTATTCTGGTATATGTACCGTGTTTACATACATGTGCGTTTAGTTAAAGGCGGCAATTTTAATATTACAGACACTTAACTGTACTTATATATGTACATGTATGTGTAGATAAGAAATCTGCCCGCGTAGCATGACAAACTCGAGAAACGGGCGAGAACGAGAAATGAAATATCTCATTTTCGATGCGCTCTCGAGTTTTCTCAGTTCGTCATGTGACGCGAGCTGAACTGAAAAGGTGCTCGTCTTAAATAGCACCTGGGATTGGTAATGTCATACAGCATTTAAATCATAATAGACATAAGGTTCCACTTGCATTGATCTCCTTCTGTGCTGCCTCTATAGTATCCTCGGCCTTGGATACGTTTCCTTTGCTTTTTTCGACAGCTTCATATCCTTCGTAGCTTTCATCTTCAATTTTCAATAGCATATTCCTAAAAAAAATGTGCCTTAAATTGCGAATACTGATAAAATATTGACTTATACAAGTCAGGTAAGTAAGAAAAACCAACCGTGTGGAGAATGGAAATTATACAGACTTAAGTTTAACAAAGCATAATTAGATCCTGAGTGAATCTGTTGTAATGGATAGTATTTTGTCTGAGACGGAATTTGATAACCCATTGTCTCACTAGACAAGATCTTAGTGATACTCCTATTTAAAGAGCCTTTATTCCATTAGCTACTATTGAGCTCTATATGAAGATCCTGTTAAAACATTTTGAAAAATATACAAATTTTCAATTATATTGACTAATTTTTACATTCATATTGCTATCTTATACAACAAAATACTTAAATCATTCGCCTCAGGCCGTGGTCTCAGGCATTTTTCTGACTTCAGAACTGAACTGGAGGTTGGAAAAGGAGGTTTGATATTCAGCCAGTTGGACAAAAGATCGTTGAAATTATCATAGAGACATTATCTACATAAATTTTCAAATTAAGAACATTTAAATTGAATTAACCTCCACCTTAATGCTGCGAGAGCGATGTGTATTAAGCTGTTTTTTTTTTCACAAGAATATTTGATAAATTAAAAGAGTGATCAAATATAGCAATTCCAGTCTCATATCTGTTTATTAGTAGTGCCATCCCACTCACTCACCTAACATCAGCCAGTCGATCGGCCAGCTCAGCGAGGTTGTCAGTAAGGTCTAACCCTGGCCCGTTACCCAATTGAGCTTGCGCATCTTGTATCAGACGCTCGATTTCCCCACGCACGCGATGCAACTCCTTGTCGAAGTCAGCGTTCTCAACTACAGTGGGAGCTTTTGATATTTTAGCGAGTATCTGTTGGAAAAACGAAATATAAAAAAATGGAAATCATCGATCGCTGTGACTGCTTAATATAACACTACTAAATAATTTCGTTTTAAAGATCCTATTACCAAAGAACGACACTAAATAGTAATCAGATACATATTGAAATAACTGATTGTACTTGCCCTAATTTTTTGGAATTACCCAATAATAACTTTAGAAAAAAGTGTCAAATAAAACATGAAACTAAACCTTTAATAAAGATAAAGTATCAAAAACATGAACTATTTATAATAATAGCTATTTAAATATGAAAATATCCCAATGTCGATTAATCATTAAGTAACAACACAAAAATAATCTCGTAAATGGTTAAGGAAGTCAAAGCCGAAATAACTTTATTCGAATAAACTAATTTAAAGTAAAGCGGTCAAGAGCTTGCAAAGGCTTTTAAAAAAATCTATATAAAAGTTATATCACTGAGGGAATACAAGCTATCTCTATTAAAATAATTTGTGTAATCCGTTTTACCGATTCCCAGTGTGGATTGGTAGTTTGTAACGACTACTACATGCATTGAATATGCAGCCTTCAAAAAACATCGAAAACTCAACGCCGTACACAACTTCAAAAAGTGATGAAAGTTTTATCTGATTGAACCTCTATGCTGTGACAGGACTGTTGTCGAAATGGAGTACGTCGCTGTAGTTTTGAGGCTTATTTTATTACAGAATAGTAAAATTGGACTAACGCCTTCGCAGAAAGTTGCTTTACTTTCTCAACCAAACCACAGTGGCATATAATGATTGTACTTACGTCATCCAGCTCTCGCAGCTCACGGCGGTGATCATTAACTGCATCAAGTACTAAGTTGTAGCAGGGCGGACAATCTTCGCAACCCTGACCGTCTGCGCGACGTCGTTTATTCTCCATACACCTGCACACATTCAAAAATATTATTATCATCACCAGTACAACAATGTCTCCACTGCTAGGGCTTTCCCTATCGGTGGACTCTACTCTAATCGAATAGGGTGAATGGGCCATGACACTGGCTCCAGTCCGGGATGGTGGGTGCTAACGACAGCCTTCTGAAGCATGGAAAAGCTCGAGATAATAAATTTTTGGTCACTAATCCTATGGCCAACCCTTATAAGAGTAGCTTAACAACCGTATCGCATGCCGAGCACGCTAACTCCCTCTACTGCGTCATCGAGCGCCTCAAGAATCCAGTTAATATTAGGGCGAAAATATACTCATGACCAAATTTTTGAGGAGCTGAATTCAAATAAGTCTGATTCTGTTTTTATTTAGCATCAAATCGGCGGCTACTTGATTTAGTTTATTTACCTATCGCATCGTCTTCCCTCGACGTTCTCTTGACAGGAGCACTGGCCGGCCACGTCGCATTGGTAATTGGTGGAGCCCCACTCATCGCAGTCGCAGTCTAGACACCCAGCACCAGAGAATCCGTAGTGATACGCCCGGCAGTGATCGCAATGTTTGCTGAGTAAATCAGTAGAAGAATTATTTACTGATTATCATAAATATTTTGTTTGTTTATAAAGAGTTATCTTCGGAAATACTGACTCATACATGAAATTCTTGTAATCCACAGATCGCAAGTGAATTTTGCAAAAATACTAACTAACAAAATGTTTGCCTAGGGTAGACCCGGTTTTGGCCTCGTCCCCCTTTTTGGCCATTTCGCACTTTAAGGCGTTCCAAATAACGCATAACGCAATATATTATTCTTGGCGGTAGAAAGTTTATGTTGCATTATGACAAAATCGATACCGTCAACAGATGTGTCAAAGTCCTTTTCCTCGTAATTCTTCAAATGGCCAAAACCAGGTTATAATATTAAAATTTCCAAAACCTGGTCATCTATCCTATTATTTACTTTAAGCAATAAGTATTTCCGACATTTATAACTGCCATGTAGCCAATATTTATTGTACGCTCACCCGTCAATGCCCGGCTTGCAATAACATTGTCCAGTATTAGGATTGCAGGTAGCATTGAATGATCCCTCCAGGTTGCACTCACAGGGAATACAGCCCTCACCAGAATCTATGTTATAATACCCGTCCTGTGGGAAACCATGATTTTTTTTGTTTATTGGGTACAGATGATATCCCAAGATCAAACCGTGGTGTGTAATGGATATCGTATAACTATAATCTAGACTCAGTGTATGGAATTAGGACAAAGTGAATCTAAAATACATAGGATAGAGAAGAAGGGCAATTCGAACATGTTGATTATTTCTAAATCGAAAGCCGAATTATGTTAATCAGATGACAAACATGATTCAAATATTAATAAGATTAAGATCCGAAGACATAGGTACTTAAAGTTTATAATTTTTTAATTACCTATAGATACATTATGAATTATTTTACTACAAGCTTTCCGCCAGCGGCTTCGCCCGCGTGTACTTGTATTATACATAAAAACCTTCCTTTTAAATCACCCTATCTATGAAAAATAATTGCATCAAAATTCGTGGTGTAGTTTAAAAGATTATAGCATACATAGGGTTATAGGGACAGAGAAAGCGACTTTGTTTTATACTATTTAGTGACATATATTTCTCGTGTTTTGGAAAATAAAATGGATTAACTTGAATAACGTACACAGAAACGAAATTGTCTCAAAGGTAACGAGTTTTCATCCAAAATTATTCTTTGCGATTCATTATTGTTTACCAAAAACTCGACTAAGTATCAGATAAGAAATACGGTGATTGAGCACGTTACACACCTCGCATTTATCACAATTTCTGCCGATGACGTGAGGCCGGCATGAACACAGACCAGTGAGGCCATCACACAGCGGTGGACCCTCGGGGCTCTCGAGCGTGCCGGCCTCGTGACACTCGCAAGGCTTACAGTCACCCTTCTTTTTCTGGTCTAACGCATCGCCGAAGTAACCTTATAAATGAAAAATGGGATCTATTACTAGATGAGCTCAATGGTTTGTTTAATAAAAATTATCAATAGCCTGTTTGACAAAAGAGTGATCTTTATACACTTTAATAATAATATCTGAACCTCTTTTTTGCTTTAGAAAGCACACATTAATATTATAATACTGGTAACATGTGCAGGCAAAGATAGCCTCAGCGTTCTGGGCATGGATATTCGCAGCGACCTCTACCCAAAAGACCACATCGAAAGCGTTATAGTTTTAAACAGAGTGCGCCGGTTTTTTACACCCGAGCAACGGTGCTAGCTATATAAGACCCAGGTCAGGTCTAGCATGGAGTACTGTTCGCATCTTTGAGATAACTCCGCAAAATATCTTTTAGATGCCTTAGACAGGCTGCAGCGGCGAGCAGTACGCATCATAAACGATGAGGGGCTAACTAACAATCTTGAGCCACTGCAAATGAGGCCTGATATTGCCTCACTCAGTGTGTTCTACCGGTTCTATCATGGAGAGTGCTCTGAGGAATTATTCAACATCATTCCCCCCCTCCACCTTCCGTAACAGGTTAACACGTGCCGGTGTTCGCTGCCATTCCCCGATTGTTTGTACTATACCATCTCGTACAAAAAAAAATCTGCAAATCGTATATTTGCCGTACCATTAAAATGAGGAACAGTCTCCCATCCCACATTTTTCAAATTAAATATAACCTTGGGTGCTTCAAAAGAGGTGTGAAAAGGCTCTTTAATAGGCCGGCAAGATAGTGGTGGATACCAGGAGTAGTTTCGACTTCTGACAGCTGCGACTATTATTAGAATATCACTTCCCACCATATTACAGTCACTTTGTCGTGCAGCAATAAAAAATATTAAAAAATAAGGCCTGCGTGATAGATTATGATCTGTTCTGCTTATGTTTCTAGTAGACCTATATCCAAGCAGTGGAGGCGTCGATTATTAATACCTCATGTTATCTCCAAAGACAAGAGTTAAGTATAAGCAAAAGAAGCACATTACACGTCCACAGCTTTTCGGAGCAACATCTGAAAAACAACTTAATAAAATATGATTTTCACCTGAAGCCTATTAAATTTGGTTGATAAAAGAACCTTATATTTATAATGAACGACTAGATTTAATATAAGAAAATAAAACTATAATAGTTACCGCTCAAGCACTTGTCGCAATGTTCGCCAGCGGTATTGTAGATGCACTTGAGACACTCGCCAGTAGTCCTGTCGCAGTTGCCAACAGCGTTGGGGTCCACATTGCCGTTACATTGACACTCGGTACAGTCGGATGGAGTGCCGACTTTGCCAGTCGGGTCACCGAAATGACCGTCGGCGCACACTTCACATCTGGGACCTACAGATACATATTAAGCAGTTATATATAAAAATGGATATGACGACCCGGATTTTTTTGTTTGGAAATTTAACGCCATCTGTCGGAGGTTAGAAAAATGTATATTGATACCTACGTTTTCCTTTTGCTTTGATTTAATAAGAAATGACTTAGATAAAAGGCATTAAAGTTGAGAAGTTGGGGCTCGCTATCTCACGATTACGTAGAAAATGCACAAAGGCGTGACGTCATGCGACATTTGAACTCAATGTGCCACCGTAATTTTTTAATTATGCAACAAATAAAAAGATACGTGTTTAATAATTTTTATTACGAGTATCTACCTAACGCACATACAAACAAAAATTTGTCATCATTTCTATTGAAATCCTTTAAAAAAGTGATTAATAAATGTTCTGTCATTTACTAGAACTTAGGAATATAGATTCTATGCTGATTATAATATTTCATTAGTTGCTCTTTACAGATCAGTTTATACTAGTCAAAAAGAAACAAGTAGACATATAAAGAACTAAAAAAGTTTCTACCTTTTCAGAATAAGGAAGTACAGTGCTGTTATTCAGTTTCTCTCACTTTTTTAGTTGTCTAAATCTAACATCGAAAACTATCACTATGTCCCCTAGTACTTGATAGCTCATGGAAATTATTGGCAGCTTTACTTTTGCAAGCAGTTTTAAAGATATAATTTAGAAGATATGCGAGTGTTTTCTAGATAGAATCGCCCATTTAAAATAGACAAAATAAGTACCAGCATATCCTTCAGGACAATCGGTGCATACAATATTGCCGTCCATGAGCTGAATACATCCACTGTCTTTAGGACAGGGGCACGGCTTACAGTCGTCGGGAGTACCAGAGATCGCGTTTCCATAGAAACCCTTGGCACATAGCTCACAGTTGCTACCAGTTGTATTATGCTTGCAAATACAAAAACCTGTAAAGGAAGATCGATTTCTATTAATAATATTTATATTCTATCATTACTGCAAAAGAAAAAAATAATAATAAGGAAACTAACGAATGAGAAATCGTCCAAAATACTTTTGTTACGGGTTCGGTGCTTCGGTCAAAATTTTAAATTACGAAAGACGAGTAATAAAATGAAATGATGTTGAATTTCAAAAACAAAAAGTTTGCATACTGAAACCTAGGAAAACAAACGGTGGCATGGCACACCGTTACACTTTTCACTACTGAATAATCACTGATTAAGGACCCCTTATTGACTACGATCAAGATTTATTTCTTTATTAAACTAAATTTCTCATCCTGAAGCTATAGAGTCCGTAGAAAGGAATCTATTCTGATACTTGCCAGTAGCTGTGTCACAAATATGAGCGTGGCCATTACAGTCACAGGGTATACAGGCTGAATACGGTCCGCCATTGGCTGGTTCATGTTTAAACCCTGGAGCACATTCCTCACAATAATCTCCCACATAGGCTTTAGGACAGGAGCACATCTCAACCCAGTTGGCCGGGGCGAAACCTCTTTCACGTCCAATTTTCGCTGTCTCCAATTTAAATGCCGTTAAGTAGCCAGTTCCACCTTTATTATAGGTTCCTCTAATTCTTATTGCAGTCAAGTTTTGGAGGATAGACATGAACTCAAAGTTAGATAATGTAGGAGTCCATCCGTAATGCGGGTCTTCGTGAAGTCTGAACGTGTACGTTTGTAACTAGAACAAGATAAATATATAAGATGTATAAGTCACCCCAATATATTTGTGATTAGCTTATCCTGAAATTACGCATGAGATTACAAAGATTATAAACATTTGTTTGCAACGGTGAATTCTAGATAAAATTACATTTATGACTTTAATTTGGGTAAAAAATCGCCAAGCTTAACTTTCGCAGATACGCAATAGATACGCTCATACTCTATTTTTGCATATCCTGCATTTTTACTATCGTCAGCATACTCATCTTTCAACAGCTAAGGTACAGCGCTTGCCAGTAGATGAACTAACTCATTAATTACACTGCAATCTTTGATCCAATTTTTCTAACAACAAAAGCTACTATTTTTAAAAAGTTGTACACGAGCACTTTATTACGCTAAGTCTACATGATTACGAATAATAAGAAAATAGTCCAAAAAATAACATGAGCTTTAAAAATATTATTCAAATACTATTACGTTATAATACCTGATCGGTCGGTTCTGGGTTATTTTGGCCGTATATATTCATAGATATAGAGCCTCTTGCACCTTCAATAATGATGTCTTGAGCAGAAGGATACCCTCGCGCTTCGCCAAGCCGCAAGGTGAACTTAAGATCATGATTATAGGATGCACGCTGATCACCAAGGAATTGGTGTGAGGCCAAGAAGTACACTACTTCGGGACCGCTGGATGTGACAGCTATCGGTAGAACAGAAAATTATTTTATTATAACATAACGCTAAGTGTTATTAAGTGAAAGTATTTTAGTATTTGTCCAAGTAATCTTTATTCATCTTTGAAGATGTTTTATTGATACGAAGGCTTGAGAAATTCATTTAATTCTCAGCAGTCATTTTAATGATTTGAACATTTCTAAATAATAGCTCAATTGTTGTGCACAATTTATTATTAGGAGTTATGCAATTTAATTCAACTCACCAATATTCTGATTGTTGGCGTTAAACTTAAGTTGTGCAGTTCTCCTCTGGTCATCTTCTGCACGCCATTTTTCAGAGTCCCTAATGAAGTGAGCGCTCAGCTCGTGCGCTTGGTACTTAGGCGCGGCGCTACACTGCGACGAGTGGCCGAAGCAAAAGCATGGCGTACATCCGAACTCATTGCTCAAATCAAGGTTGAAGAAACCTGGTTTGCATCTAGACAAAAGCAACAATTTGAGTATACAAATATAATTAATCCAATAAAAAGAGCATCAAACGTATAACTTCTAATTATTACCGTAAATTATAGATCACAAAATAATGAGTAACACAAACAGTGCAAGTATTAATCTACGTAATTTGCCAACAAATTGCAATATAAATAAGAAACTATTATCGAAACGAAACTTACTCTCTACAACGTTTTCCCTCTACGTTCTGTTTGCAAAGACACACTCCCGTCTCCGGGTTGCACTGAGGCGTATTGCCGAAGGAGCCAGCTTCGTCACATCCACAAGGCTTGCATCCAGCTGTGGTGAACTCATAGTGATTGGGAGCGCAAGAATCACATTTGTCGCCTGTCACACCAGGCTTGCACTGGCACCGACCTTCTGAGTTACATTGAAGGCTGCGAGAACCTGAGGAACATGTCAGCCTTAGATCAAAAATAAGATCAGATAATGACACTGCGAAACGTCAGGTGTTGGCTCCAAGATCTCTTAGTGATAGATTCAGTCAAGTATTTATTTCTAAATCTATAACCATACTTTTCGTCAATAACGAACAAAACTTTACATGGAAGTGTTGTAAAAACAAGATGGAAATGTTAGTAGAAATTTTACTTTTATAGTACTGTCAGCATAGATCTTACGAAATGAAGTTGATTCTGTAATAGAAAGTTAGCAAATTACCAGTAGGGTTGCAATTGCAGGGTAGGCAGATTTCGTCAGTGCCTTGGTAGAAGTTCTCCCTGCACCGTTCGCAGTTCGGTCCATCCCTGTTCTGAGCGCATTCGATACAGTGACCTCCGTGGCCGGTTCGTTCGTACAACTCCTTGTCGAAGTAACATTTGTTCGAAAACCCGTTGCAGTTGCACGCTACGATAACAAAAATATTCCTTTACGATTGGATCATCACTAGCTTATTAAGTGCCCACAGCTGGGCCGCAAGCCTTTTTGTTAAAAGAAATACTGGGTGAACCCAACAGGGAATGGTCGGTGCTGATAGCTTCAATTATAGTCAATGTCACAATGGTTTTCAATGTATAATTAATATTTAAAAATGTCGGCACAGTGCAAAATTAAAAGATATTTTAATAATAAATTGATACGTATACTTCATTATACGCTAGAGCGTATACTATACGTTAATATTACATGAATCGATGACGCTTCTCATCGAGCAAAAACATAAATAAGGGAATATAGACATAGAAGTTTTCCAGAATATGCTCTTGTCTATAATCATTTAATTTTAATTCAATAAGGAACTGACTCTTTTATACTTCATAGGGAAAAAGCTGTATTTAAAAATATTATTATAATAATAATTAACAAAAACAGTCGCTGTTGCACATAATACTGATGAAAATATGAACATTATAGCATTCGCATTGCGTTAATGTATTAGAGTTAATTAATTACACAACATCATATCTTTTGCTCATATTCCATATTAAGTAGCTAAAGCACAAATCTTAAACAACGAAAGTACCAGAGACAATGTAAAAAAGTAAATTTTGAGAATTGAATCCACGACCTGATAGATAGAGACTCCTTGGAACAGACGTGCGAACTAATCGGCGAAAAAGAAATAATGTACTAAAGAGAACCAAAATAATGTTTTTATTTACTTCTGTAATCTATGATTCGCTAGGCATATAAAATAGGTTATAGGATTGTCACATTATAAAAATATTACCACCCAGCTATGCGTATTTCTATTAATATGGTGACCTTCTTATTATTTCAAAGATTTTTAAGTATTAGTAAGGAATACTTAAAAATCTTTGAAATAAAATCAATATCCCTCCTAATATTGAAAAAATTTAAAAGTAGTTAAAAATATTTAATATCATCTTATTTTATGAAAATCGGTTAAAAATATAAGTACATACTTGTCTTTTCACATTCACACTTATAAAGTTGAATGAGTCAAAAATATGAGGCTAGGCTGATGAACATGATGAATTAGTCACGTCCTAGGGCGATAGGCATCGCACTGTGATGGCATCCCACAATTTAAAATTATTGGGTAGTGTAATTTAAACTATCAGCACAGGCATATTACTGACCTTTACATTCGTGCATGTTGGTAAGAGACGCTCGACCCCACGGAGCATCGTTGTAGAAGTCCAGACACCGTTCACAGTCACGACCCGCCGTGTTGTGCTCACATCTGTGTCATTTAAAATCATGAAACACGCAATACATCCTCGTATTAGGTACATAGTTATAATCTCGACAACTTTTCTTGGTTTCCCTAGCAAACCATTAATCAGTTTTCAATCAATTTTCCTGATGTTCACTTAAAAACCTAATGAACAGAATTATTTTAATATTTTGTTTTACTTTCAACAAACAATTACATTCAAGGAATAATACAAATACATTTTTACATAATATATACACCATCGAAGTCGCTAAAAATTCACTAACCTAATTGAAATCTAATCAAAATTACCAATAATAAAGTGACCCAATATGTTAATGCGTAGAATGATTCCGGTTTGCTCTGGAATCACAAACCTGCAAGATCTCGTGCGGGTACCATCTGGCATTTCGTGTGTATCACAGATAGACGCGTGGCCATTACACTTGCAGCGGGCGCCAACTACGACATCAGCGATGGCGTACCAGTACGACTGCAAGACTTGCACGTCACCGAAGATCTCGTCACCGAACGTATTCAGACGGTCGAGAGATATACGCAAATCGGTCGCTGTCACCCATTCCTGCATGGGATTGTAAAGATTTAGACATGGAACATAGCAAAATGTCAGAAGAATCGCGAGCCCAATTTACCAGTTTTCGTACATATTCAATCGAAGCGGAGTTTATGTGAGTTATCCATTTAGCGCTATGAGTCTCATAGTTGTTGTTGAATTATTATTAATTCTCTGATGCACAGCATTTCGATTATTAAAACAGTAGATATTTATGATCGAAAGTGGTAACACACTCTATCTGTAATTAAAAGAGCCTACTACTACATCAGGTGAAGATATTTTATTTTTCGGCTTAAAACTGGCTGGCTGTTATTATATGGATTATCTAAGTCGTATCAAGAATGATGTGTGTTTACACTTACCTGTAGTTCTGGGCTGCTGTCAAAAGTGTATGCCGAGGGTCTACCTTCAAGAGTAGGGAACACCACATTGCCCCCTGACAAAGGTGCGATGTCCGAATATTCGCTGGTACATAGAGCTCTTGTTTCAGCACCCAATTCTGCCGATTTCTGCTCTTGGACGCCATAGGTGTCCCGGCATGAAGCACTACAGAATAATGTATGAAAATAATAAAATAAGTGTGGTGCTGCTACTAAAACAATAATATAAACGTAGTGTAGCATAACAACGAAGGAAAATATGGTAGAATACAAGAAACTAAGAAATTAAAAAAGATATAGTGAGACATAACAAACAAACAAATTAAAATTACATTTTAAATGAATGACTAGAACTGATAAATATATTTATTTATTTTGTATTGACACAACACAAAAATGTAGAGTACCAAACTAAATTATGCCAGATACCGAAAATGAAATTACAGTCAAACATGTCAATTAATTTTTTTTTTTTTTATCATCATATAGAAAACTAAATTTAAACTTCAGACAGCTCAGATGCCAAAGTATTTTGACTATTTTCAATGAAGGTTTTATCGAAATACCTGAAGTACTGATAAGGTTCCCAATCTTTGTCTTCTGAGGTCTTCTTGTATATGGCGAAACTCTGCGGCCTCGGTGAATAGAAGACTATCCTCACATACGTGATGTCGTACGCTTTACCTGTTATCCAATTAATAATATACACAGTCTTGAGTCGCATGGAAACTGAACAATTAAAACCTCAACAAAACAGTTTTAAACTAACCAATGTTTTTGGAAAATTATTAGACATTTTCATTTAGAATTCTTTCCATGCAACATCTTTGAAATTGATGAGCATAATCTTGAACTAATAAAAACTTTCAAATGTACATAATATTTTTTCCAAAACTGATGCAATCTGTCGCTAGAACCCTTCACAGTATTATTTTTACACCATCCCTGATAATATAAAATTAAGTAATACAATGCCCCGTTTCTACAAAGTGTACCTTATAATGGCACTTTTATATCGTTTCAGTTAATGCCATTCGCCAAATATTATTAACACAATAGCATGTTGACGTATAAACAAAATCTGTTTTTTTGTTACTTTGTGATATAGTAGCAAGAACTACGTCTAAAAAGCAGCTATTGAAACAATATCGATATACCATCACGACGTCGACATAAAGAAAATTGAGCCCCAGATCTTTAATCTCCTGTCTCTGGTATAGCTTAAGCATATCCAAAAATTATGTCTTTTGACAATTTAACTCACCTAAATGCAAAGTGAGGTTGACCTGATTGGGATACTGGATACCCTCCTTCATGGTCTCAGACTGCCACCACGTCTGGTTATCAGTCTCGTAGTGCAAATCGGTCAGGTAGTAGCTGGAGAACTGTCCAGGTTGACAATAATCACAGGACCTGCCAGCGAAAGGACAAAAAAGACAAAGTTAAAAAAAATTAAGCCAGGTGTCATCGTGATCTTGATATTGCTTTATCGAAAAAAATAAAATTATTATTTTCATAGATATCTTTAATATCTCCACTGCCAAGTCACAGGCATTCCTGATAGAATTATCGCAATAGAGAAAAGAAGCCATAATCCAGTACGAGGGTCCAATGCGAATCAATGTGTTATAACGTCAGCACTGACGACCAGAATCAACAAGTTAATGTACCCTCCGAAGCACGAAGGAGTTTATAAGAGATAGGAACTTTTTTATTAACCGTCCGTTGACTCGCATAAGTAAAGGTTACTTTCAGAATCACAAGCTAACCTTTGCCGTACTTGATAGAATATGACCCGTTCTCCCTATACGTAAATCATCAGTGGAAATATTAATAGGCTTATAATGATGATGAAAAACAACGAATTTGTTGATAACAGTACAATTTAAATATATCTATAAACTCAATAGAGGTACAATTAATTCTTGAGTTCTTTTAATTGTTAGCTTTTGAACACACCTTGTAGAAGTGCCAGCTGAAGTTTGTATACAATACATTTTCACGCCGTTATCTCCGCAGGTATTGGTCGCTTCCATTTGCACCATGAAGGCTGCATTCTCGAACTCCGGTATACATCGCTGTTGAAATGAAAAAATAACAACATTCCATACTCTATGTAGGTAACATATTTTCACTCCGATGAAAGTAGTCATATGATAGATAGATAGATGACGTCGTTTATTTGCATCAAAAATACGCTTGTTAGGAAATTGACTACAATTATAAAATTAGTAAATTAAACATAAGGACTGTTATTACAATAGTAAATTTTATTGTGGATGTTATAAAGAAATAAATTGCCAAAAGCTCAGCGATACTTTCACTCGGAGAGAGCAAAACATTAATTTTAGCTTTTGCCTGGATGAAAGAGCTTAAGGCAGTACGTTCTAAGAAAAGACGTATTTGTCTCTTCTCTTGGAGGAAGTCCCTGAATGTAACATATACATCGGCCTTAAATTAAATCCTTAACGTGAAAGCGGTGTATCCATGTCGTATCACATGAAATGGGTGCATTTAGTATACGGAAACCGGTCGGCCCAGATGGTGGATTTGCCGCCAAAATAGGGACGCTATTAATAGATGTGCGTCGCCGGCCGTTCACATCGCTCGCGTACAAACATCACATTTAGTCATGCTGTAATACAATTACGTCAACTATTAGGGCACTGATAAACGTGCGCTTGCAGATGTGGGCAGGAATAATTACATTACATTACAATAAACAAATTTGGCAGAATATAAATTTTGATCCTTCGAGCAGAACCGAATGGAGTCACGAGAGAGGTCCGAGGGGACCAACTCTCAGGAAGCTCAGATGCGAAGTCCAAGTGACACTCTCGAACAAAGACGGCAAAGGGGGCGGAATTCTGTAGATCGACGGGATAGGGCTGAGGGGCCCCACCTCGTACCCCGGCGATATTAGCTCGTAGAGACGGTCCACTGTCTGGGAAAAGGCTGTTATTCACCCAAGTCTTTTCCTACCCGCAAAGCGCGACTTCTCTCTTCCCCAGAGAGAAGCCCAGTGCGGTTTGGGTCCGGGCCCTCATTGCTGGATACCGGACTCATCCATTCGGGTGAGGTGAACCGCAGCGGGTTTTACCAGGTAGAGCTTCCACATTTACCTGCCCTTTTAAGGGCGGGTAGGAAGTGGAGCCTTGGTTTAAGGCTTAAGATGCATTTCCCCCGCGTTAACAAAAAAAAGGTAGCTGGACAGGATTTTACCTTAAATCTACTATTAAAAAAGCTTATTATAAGGTAGATAATTACTTCTAAACTCATTATATATCAAAAATTATCTTGTTTCCATTATTATTAAATTATTATGTTATCATTATATTTAGCTTTTTCTCTCTTTTTATAATATATTAATCTGGTGACATGGAATGAATGTCTTGTGAATTTGAGAATGTCGCTACTCCTATTAGAGCTGGTGAGTTTCTTGCTCGTTCTTCTTATCAGCCAAAAGACGTCTTAAACAAGTTTTGGACGATTCAAAAGTACTTTTAAGAAGTCTATTTGAATAAAGATTATTTTGATTTTTTGACCTTGAGGCTCTGTATACGATTTGCAGTGTCTTATGATAATTCAGAATAATAATGAAAGTTTTCCAATTGAAATAGACTTGAGCAATAAATAAATATTAAAAAATTCAACACGACCTGAGTTAATTTATAATGTGATAGTACATATCTCAAAATAACAAGATTTTTTTTTCATGGAATAGGGGTCAGACGACCAGACGGATCAGCTGATAGTGAGTGATTACCGCCGCCCATGGACACCTGCAACACCAGAGGAGCTACAAGTACGCTGCCGGCCTTTAAGCCTGAATGTGGAAAAAGGAAAACCAAAAGTGATCTATTGTAATTTCTATCTATTCAAGTGTAGTGAGGATTTCATAAAATAATTACAGGTCAAAATCAAAAAGTACATGAGTGATTGCCCTTAAGCGAAAATAAGTTGTTTTTTTGTAAAGACTATCTCCGTGGCACACACGCTGAGTATGAGATATGACCGACTCTGTCGAGTTTGATTCCCGTTGATGTCGATGTAATAAATGAACTTCTATATTGTCTAGTTATAGATTTTCATTCAAAACCTTATGGTAATTCTTAGTTTAGGATCTAAGCAACGTATTAAGGTAATTTATATTTTTTTACCATTTAGAGTGCGTTTAAGAACAAATGACACCAAAATTGATAATTAATTTTTTATTTTAATATAAACAATTGATTTCTTATTTATTTTTCATTGACAAGAATCGGCCATTGACCTTCGGCTACAGTACGGATATCATAAGTATGTTTGCAGACAACTTTTTTTCTTCTAAGATATATTTTTTTCCTACTTCGGTTCTATTTTTTTAAAGTTTTTATTTCATACTTTTCAGTGATATTGATATTTTTTATGTAATAGGTAGCACTAATAATATTAAATATATCTAAATAAAATAAAAATATTCAACGCATTAAAATTCTTAGAAAAGGAGATTTTGTTTATTTGCTCGATATAATTGTTTCCAAAAATTATATACTATAATATATATTAAAAAGAGGGAATTTATAAAAGTCTTTCATCTACGGGAAGCTACATAATACGCGTTGGACATAAGCTATAATATACGCAGCTAAAGCCGCGTGGAAATAGCTGGTTTGATAGAAATTAGTTTACTTGATATTAAACTTCATTGAATATCATCGACTTCATCAAACTACATGGATATTTCATATTGTGACTTTATGGGACTTCATTAGGTTTTCATATAACATTTCCAATTACGGGCATTGGAAATTACATAATAATAATAATATATATATTTATTTATTTGGGCGTTGTTGAATCAACAACCGTAGTAGTCCGTAAAACTTAGGAAAAATGCAAAATTGCACCAAAATTAACTAAAAGTATATTAAAGTTTTTTTTATTCAATATGATAATAATGAATTAATCGATTATTTTCCAATCGATGTTTGATTTTCATATTGCAACACCAATTCACTTTTTGTCAATACAAACCACAATGATACAGACAATGTTTTAATTAATCTTTCATTCATTACTTTTTCATTTTACATGTAGAAATTAATTTATTCACTTGACTTTGGCAGAATTGTGTGAAATGCGCAGATATACCATTAATAAAAGAAGAATGAAATTGACAAAATTGAATTGTAAATGACAATTTAATATGGGATATCTACTAAAACAATCCGCATATGTGTATTTTTTTGTAATATTAAACTGTAATAGAAGTGAAACATTATACTTGAAAATATTATTTACAAAATTAATTTTATAAAATAATTCATACCATGTATTGGCTACGCACGTGAAATTGGCAGAATTATGCGAAAGCCCTTAATAAAAGAAGAAGTTTTCGATTGAAAATAAATATTCATACGTATCAATAACATAGTGAAGAAGATAAACGATAGTCGACTCAAAGTAGACATTTAAGAGAGAATTATTGATGATGAAATGAATCCAATATCTTTCGAAATCTGGCTATACCTACATCTGTACACCGAATCAAGCAAGGCAACATAATATATACTGTGGAAAATCTATACAAGATTAAATTTAAAACAATGTTTGTTATAGAAACCCATTAGAAATGTCATTATTGACTAGATATTATAAGTAAGATCAGAGAAAATTATTAATGATTTGACATATCTTTCACATTAAGTTGTATACAAATTAAATTCTTGTAGTTGCATAGATCTGCTCGCAGCTGTCATCCATGCTGACTATGAGCAAATTAAGTATAAGTTTCAACTGATATAAAAGAACTTACACATATAAATTCCTGCAAATTGAACAAGAGCTCCTGATTCACAGGCTTATTTTTTTTGTTCTAAATTGTAACCCATCATAGCGTATGACAGTTTTCTTTGGAAATTGGTGGTTGGTTTTAACTTTGTGTCAAAAACAGTAGAATATGTATTTTTCATGTAGGTAATACTAATTAGGCTGAACATTTATCTTGCACGCAACTTAATATATGGTTACAGAAAGCCTCATGTTATTTCAAATGTTACATAAAACTGAGCTGCGGCTAAGCTCAATTTTATTAATTTTTAAAATTAAAAATAATTCAGAATAAAATCTTATAAACAGTATATTTACCTGTTTAACAATCCTTTAAACATGATGATGATATGATGAATAATCCTTTATAATATTATAATCTCCAAATAAAAAAGTGAGTAATACTTATGTCAGAAAAAAAATATTCATAATTATAATTTTTTAATTAAGATTATTATTTGATCATATTTTCTTTTTAATGTTATTGATAAAATTTACACCCCTGTCTTCATAAATTGTTGTCTCTCTCTCTCCATCCCATGATTGCCTGGAAGAAATCACTTTAAGCGATAAGGCCGCCAATTGTTATTTTATTTTAAATTTTACCTATATAACTTGTGTAATGTTAACAATAAAGAATTTTCTATTCTATTCTCTATAATGGTATTATTAATATAGTTTTGGTGAACTTCCTAAACATAAATGAGCATATGCTCACTAGTAATGCAAGTAATTCTTAAATTCACAAAACCTGCTGGTTATCTGGTAGTTAAATTGGTTTTAGCAGACGCCCAGACTGTGAGTGTTTATGGGTTTAAATCCCACCTCAAGCACTAATTGCTTGAAGTGGGTTTTTTAATTATTTTCCTTTAAGATAAATATCATATAGTATTGCAAATGCAAAAGTGATCAGAAAAAATAATGATAAATTAATTAATTTTAAACAAGGACTTTTTCAGTGCCATTTTTATTGGAATTCCACACATGCTTGTAAATACACACTTTTAAGTTTTCCTGTAAAAATACTACAATAGTTTACTTTTTTCAATACAAAATATTCAAAAATTCATGTTTTTATAATCATAGATAAGTTTACTTAAAGCCAAAAGCCCCTACAATCTAATAATGATTTTTACGATGTTCCTATTTACAATGATTGTTTATAATTATGTAAAGTTTTAACAGAAATATAATTATTGATTTTAATTTACATTACATGCCTCAACTAGGTGGACCTTATTTATGTTAAGAATCTACATAATATGAATTCAACATTTCAAATTGATAGAGGAATGAAAACCTATTAATTTATCTATAAAATTAAGTTTTTAATAAAAAATAATAATTTAAGATTAATAATCAAGATATAATTTATTTTATTTTTAAAGTCTGCCAACATTTTTACATATCAATAAGCAACCACAAAATTACAGAACTATCTATAACAAATAGATGAAATGGTGTACATAAAAAGTTTATTAAACATATGCATGCACTATCACACTTGTTTATCTAGCTCCATAGTTTTCGATTTCATTTTTTTTCTAGTAATTTTACATAATTTATATCATGGATTGCTATGTTCTCATGAGGTAGATGAGGAATCTGGTGTTTGATACCCAGATTTTGTATATTTACTTCAGACGTCAGGGTGCTCATTGAAAGTATCCTTGTATCTTTGTGAAATAAATAATATTGGATAGAAAATTTTATATGCTTGAAGTGCTAGACAGTTAAAGATTAAAATTTTTTGGTACCTTAATATAAGGTATTTTTATAAATAATTAATGATAAAGCAAACATATCAATGGATTTACACAATTATTATGTTCTTTACAGTCTATTGATAACTCACTCACAAACTCTTAAAATGTAGGAATTAAAGTCACAGTGGATTGGAGTATTTAATATATTTCACGTTGTAAATACATAAAAGTCAGATGAGAGTAAAGAAGAGAGTGACATAAAAAACAAAAACAGTGTATAAAATACTAATTCAAAAAGGTATACGAAAAGATGCCAGTGTCTGATTAATATAGAAAAAGGTTTTATCTACACCTCCCCGTAATCAGGACACTTATGTACACCCTTTATAAAACACACACTGTATGTACAAAAACACTATATCAAAAGTACCTTAACATGATGCCCTAACCTAATTAACCTAATAACACAAAACAAATAACACTAAACTAATCCTAAATTAGTTAGGCACATATAGTGTCTCAGCTTAGGCAGTGGCTTTGTGAGAATGTCTGCTGTTTGGTGAGCTGATGGTATGAATGACACATTGACTTGTTTAGTGGATATAGACTCACAAACAAAATGATGTCTAATATCAATATGTTTTGTGCGGGCGTGATGCGTGTTGTTTTTTGTTAATTTGATGGCACTTTGATTGTCACAATTAATGGTGATGGGTGACGAAAAGCAAAAGATGTCGCTTAGTAATGAGCGAATGTAGATGGCTTCCTTACAGGCTTCACTTAGAGCCATGTACTCAGCTTCTGTTGTTGATGTTGCAACGGTTCTCTGTTTACGTGATTCCCATGACACTGCTGAACCACACATTTGGAAAACATATCCTGTATAGGATCGTCTGTCCACCAGATTACCACCATATCGGCATCAGCAAATCCGATTAGATCACCACTATTGTTATAGGTCAGTTTCCTATTTTTTATAGCCTTCAGGTACCGAAGAACAGTTTCGCAGCTCTCCAATGTACCGAGATAAAACTTTTCTATACAAACACTACAAATATGTTTGCCGAAGTTACTTTTGTAGGGCAAAATGTTTTTAATTATCAATTCTGAAGATGGATCAAGGTATTTTATTTCACTCAGCAATTGGGGGTACCTAATTGCACCTCTTAAAATTTTAAATAATATAAATTGTTTCACATCTATCATTAAACGCTAACTATCGATCGAAAAAGTAGAAATTTGCAACTTTTTAGAAATCGTTAATTTTGACAGATGAAACGTTCGGATTTAGTAACGTTTCAGTAGCGTTTCGATCCAACGAAGTGTCAAAATTTTAGTGGAATAAGGGCCGACGGACGATCGACTCAAGTATATGGACGTAGTTATGCAAACCAGCCACATGATGTCAGTTTTGAGAAAAATGGGTTTCTTGTTTTTAGTAATAATTTTTGTAGAATATATTTTATTTTATTTATTTATCAAGAAATTTTGTGAATTTACAACATGTGAGTTTAATTGCAACACTTTTAGGCTTCTCTGCACATAACTCGATTTTGACAGATTTGTGGGTTGGTTCCGGTTTGCATAACTACATCTGTATAGTTCTATGTTCGATTGAGCGAGTAGAATACCGTTTACAGTTTCTGTCGATCGATAGTTAGCTAAACTAAAATAGAACCGGAACTGTATCGTTTGACGCCATTTTGACACCGAGTAGAATAGGAAAACCACTAAAAGTTGTAGTTTCGTTCGGTTTCGTTCCGTTTTCGATTCGATTTAAACAAAATTTATTTAGTATAGAATTTTGAAAATCGGTTTTCAAAATTGAAGAAAGAAGTATGTTTTTTTTGTATGTTCACAGATTTTTCCGGCTGGCAGGTTTTCAAAATTTTTTTTGTGTCAAGTTCTCCTATATAAATTTTATCGGAATCGAATTAGTTTTGTTTTTAAACAAAATAGTTTTTTACCAAATACCAACAAAATTACTTACACGACATGTTCATGAGCGAAAACTTATTTGCATTCAATCAAAATCTAAATCAAAGGTAGCTGGAGTTAGTGAATTTTATCAATAAAGCAATGTTAATGCAAAATTGAAGAAATTATAATAATTTCTTACTTCTTAACTATTTTCGAACAAATATCTGATTCAAATTAGTGGTTATTTTAGGACATCAAATACATACAATACAAAAACACCAGTATCTTGGTTAACTCTTTTGACATTTGCACGGACGAGCGAACGCAGCCAAAACATCGCAGACCGTAGAGCAATTCAATATCCATGACCGGGCTATTAATGTCCCCACTTCTGGGGCATTGTGGATTGGTGTGTATTAACGACTGCAGATGCGGTCCCGACTAGCAGCCTAACGTGCAAACCGAAAAATACGAGCTTAAGGTAATAATTTTTCCACCAGTTGGTCACCCATCCTATAACCGCCCCTGACGAAAGTGACTCAACTTTCAAAACGCAGACTAGAAACTCGAACCTAAATCTTAAAATGAGGATTTTTTTTTTATGGGATAGGCGGCAGACGAGCAGCGACGGATCACCTGATGGTAAGTGATTACCGTCGCCCATGGACACCTGCAACACCAGAGGGGCTACAAGCGCGCTGCCGGCCTTTAAGAGACGAATATGATCATAGGGAGGGAAGGGTTGAGGGGTAGAGGGAAGGGAATAGGGAAGGGTTGGGCCTCCGGTACCCTCACTCAACTACGACGAAACACAACGCAAGCGTTGCTTCACGTCGGATGTCTGGAGGCCGTGGTAATCACTCCGGTCGACCCGGCCCATTTATTAAAATTGTTTTCTATCATATCCCATTTCTTGAGTGATGTTTGTACATCTTCAGGGTGATAATTGAATCATTCTTTAATTGACCGACATTTACTGCTCTTCGAAATTTCTTCTGCGCAGATACATCAATGATCCATATTAGTTGTATCTTACTGTACGAAGTAAAAGAATGAAATTATAACATTAGTACTATCTATTGACAATCAAAAGTGTAGTTAATGTAATATACCTTATCAATATTAAAGCAAGAAAGTGTCATTTTAGCCAAAGAAGTAGTTAATAAAAAAACATAATTAATCTTCCGTTATGCCAAATAAAGGTATGCACTTTCTAACGTTAGTTTTATAGCCCAAAAATTCTCAAATTGCAATTTTTTTGACTAATATGTCAAAGACTAAGTAATTACACAATAAATAGGTAGAGTTTACAAATTGAAAAACTTTGATGCGCTTAAAATTAACGCCACAATTCAAGAAAAAAATTACTCGATATATGAGATACTTGTTAAGCGAGCAATAATTGTGTATATTATAACAAATACGGTTTGTATCGACGGATGCAAGATAACTTGGTTCCGTTCATTCATGATAAGCGGCATTAGGCGGAGAGTAAACGAACTCATTATGGACTCTTGCGACAGAGTAGTGTTGTAACAAAGCGTATCAATATTATTATCGATAGTTTAATACTATCGATAGTTGATACTACTATAACTTTGTCAATCAGATGATCTAACGATCACTATCAGCCCGTTAAAGTGGCCGCTGTTTAAGCACAGGTCTATCCTATGTATACAATGACAGAGAGAATGGATCCTTACTTACTGAGTGGGCCCAACATAGGTTAATAATGATTAATGACTTATTGAGACCATCGACCTTGAGAAATACTTTTCACTGTCATAAATAAACATCGCCTCTAAAAAATAAAAACCCATAGTATCGACAGTTTCATAATTACTACATCACTAGTATCGATACTAATGAGAGCGAATTATCACTATAGCAACAACACTAGCACACAGATAACCTTACGATCTGCCAAAAACTTTGTATCCGACCCTAATAGATGAACGCTAAACAAATATTAGATATTAGAATCACTGAACAATTTTTATAGGTACTCACTAATAGAATCGCCAATACATAAATACTTAGTAAATCACTCTATACTCTGTAAAGGTATGATAAGTAATTTATCAAGAAAGCTTTCTGCTTAACATCCAAGTCAGTAAAAGAATAATAACATCTTTTATCACTAAAGCGCTTCCAAAGGTAAACGAAAACACAACTTAGCCGCTAACACAGAAAGTTTGTGAGAGAAACGTCCGCTAACTTGTTGTCTAACAAAAGCTTTGCACGCAGGGTCGTCTAATCTAGTTGTTATATTATTACCTGTGGCTGCCCATTGTTGTAACACGAGGCCAACTTAGAGCCGGCTCTTGTTTGTTGATAGATCTGTGATGCTGCGATGAGAAACGTGTTGAATAAGCAGAGAGCGATCAAGGGGCGCGACATTATGCGCGGCGAAGCGACGTGCGACTGAGTGACCAGCCGCTGATGCTCGCTCTCTTTTTGTTCGCCATAGATTAGGAAAGTAGGCAGCGCATGTGTATCGGAAATCCTCTCAGATGACTGTTCAATATATATCATTTTAAAACTAATTGATTCCGTTTTATAAAGATTCAATGATGCATGCGTTTCATTTAGTAAAAATTTACTACCTAAAAATTACCTTTTTTCTATATTAAAATGTATTATTTCTTTCTTATTACGGCAAAATATAAAAATAAAGTATGATTATTTTCTTAGTAAAAAAAACATTGTTAGACCGAAGATGAGGTCGTAAGTTTAATTTCGGCATTATGCCTAATATCCTATTTGCAATAAAAAGGAACATAATTAAGAGACATTTTGTGGAAACAAAATCATCGAATGAAATTATTTGCTCAACAAAACAATAAAGATATTACTCTAATACATTTCAAAGTGACTTTATAACTAATATAATTATTGTAATACAATCACATAAATCAGATTGTCGTGCTTTAAAAATTATAAATAATACTTCCCTTGTTAAAAAATACTTATATACACTTTACGGAAACGAACATAAATACAAAACTATTATTCTTGTTATATTTTATCAATTTTGCATTCACAATGCTATACTGAAAAATTTTCTTAATGAAAAATGTTTAAAAAATGGATTCGAGTCCCTTCTCAGTTTACCAGAGACAAAGCAGCTTTTAGCATTTTTCATTAAGATTAAATTTATTATTAATATTTAAGTCCGTCCTTATTAAAAATAAATTAAATTAATTAATTGTTACTTTACTTATTTCCTCACATTTTTTACTTATCATATTATTATCACTTCATTTCAAATAAATTTTATAGTACCTAGCACAAAAACATCTACCTACTCAAAGTACTTATTGTACACAAAAAGTAATAAAATATGTATAGGTAATATATCTATATTTGTACAATCTACAGTTTTCTTTATAAAAATAATATTGCATTTCATTATCTAATTTGTTACTGACAATTCGAACTATACTATTATATTAAACATATAAAAAATGTTATAAAAACTACATAACATTATGCACTGAGTCGGTTTCTTCGGTATATACGTTCTGTTTTTCGGTTGCTTAATCTAGGGCGTTAGTAGGAGCATGGCCCCATAAAGCTGTGTTTTTTGTGAGCGAGCCTGAAAGGCCACGCTTTGTCTCAGACGCGGCATGTGCGGTCACCCGAAATATGTACAATGGGGCAACCCATCGGTCTCCTGAAACTGTTTGCAGATTTAGTTGTAAGATAACCACTTAAAGCTAAACTAAAACAAATATTTGGGTCTAATGTAACTAGAAATTAACTTATATACTTAATGTTAAACAATAATTTTATATTATACTAATTAAATTCACGTTATGTAATAATATTTTATTTAATAAATCACATGTAAAATGTGTGGTAGAACAATTGTTTCGCTTTGGAAACATTTTTTAAATAATGACAATAATAATCATCATCATCATCATCCTCCTGCCCTTTATCCCACGTTACGTGGGGTCGGCACAACATGTTTTCTTCTTCCGTTCTTCTCTGTCAGACGTCAGCTCCACATCCACACCTTTCTTATTCATAATGACAATAATGATGCATTGAAATCGTATTAACTTAAATACAGAAGAATAGAGAAAATATTTTTATGTGCCTGATATAGGTTAACCTGTTTGTCAGGCAAAATAAAAGACTTGTATTAAATACAATTAGTTTATAATAACGAATAAATTAAAACATTGAATTGAAACATTGAATTTTACACAAAGTTAAATAAACACACGACATATAATTTATAAAATTATCAGTACAAAATCACTGTTTAGTTTAATCGGCGATATTTTGCTCACATTGCGTGTTTCGATGCACAGGATCTGCTGTGTGCGTATTTTGCAGTTCCCCGAAGCTGACACGCGGCGCATTAGGTCATCTTTGATCATGCAACTCGCTCGTTCCCATAAACCTTTCTCTTTCTACGGGTAGCAGTGCATTTTAAACCTTAAATAAATGCAACTAGTTCTATTGAAAAGTAAGATTTGGTGTTTTGTTTTGCACTCTCCATTTTGCCTTAGCCCATCGAAAGCTTTCTCGTATTTCACTACAATATTGAGAGAGCTTTCAATAAAATTTAGAAGGCAAATTTTTGACTTGGTTTAACATATACGTCATAAAAAGATTAGTATATCTTTACAAAAATATGGCAATGTGCTAAGACGTAGTAAAATTAGGTATTTTTGTGTTAAAAAATTAACCAAAAAGAAAATTTCGGTTACATTTTTATTATAATGATCCAGAAAATTAAATGTGGAGAAAATAGTTTTCCACGGCTTATAACTTAGGATTAATATTTTCGAATTTATGCAAATCATTCATATCCATTTTTTCAGACACGATGCCGTTTTAACTACGAGTATCTTATGCATAACAAATCAATAACAATATTATAAAGTTGGAGAGTTTGTTTGTTTGGTTGGACGCGTTAATATCAGGAACTACTGGAATTGACAAGAAATTTAAAAATGTTTTTATTGTGAATAGTTAATTTATTGTATATCACTGAAGCTTATATGACTTTATGCTATGAACACAAGGAGTAGAGTTTCAATTAAAAAAAAAAAGTTGCGAAAACGTATAAAACCTACGTGTGAAGCCGCTGGCGGAAAGCTAGTGTTTTATAAAGCTTAGATTATCTAAAATGTTGTTGTTACTTGTGGTTGTTATTTTATTAAATCAATAGTAATCTAAAAGGCCTCACGTCTTAATCAAACTTTATCTGGCCCTCGTTAAATTACTCTATAATTTAATAGTCCAAAATAGTATTTTGGGTCACTATACGCCCAACAAGTCCTATAGTGACCCAAAAGCCGACGTAAACGTAAACAAATGAAATTTTAATTAGAAAAATAAAGAGATAAAACAATTAGTATCTTATAATATGTCAGAACTAATTTTCCGCGACCGACGAGACATCCTCAGATGTGCACTGACCCTAAAACCCAAAAAATTGAAGATTGATAAAGAAATACCAAGATCATAATGAGTGACAGTAACACATAAGTTTTAATACTTCAACAACGAAATCTACATTATCGATAAAATTTAAAACCATGAAAACTTTTTCAATACCTATTAAATAATATTGGTATACGTACTCCTTTGGTGCAAAGTCGTCATGAATATAATACTCTTGGCAATAATTACATTGGATTAAAACTAAAATTTAGAGTAGGTACATACTTGAGGTAATCTTTTCTGTCATTATAATTTATTATTTACTGGCTGTTGTCCCGTGTGTGTAAATTTTAGCCTTTGGCACCTCGTATTATGTAGCTACCCATAGGTGAAAGACTTTTTAAATTCGGTCAAGTAGTTTCGGAACCTAGTCGATGCATATACTCCGTTTATTTGATCCACATTACATTTTTTTTTAATCTTAACCCTAATGAATAATTCACAATGCATCAATATTATATTATATTGACCCCTTTACCGGAAAGAATTATTTGTCGGCGATGTTATGAGGTTATCACATCGTATCGCCTACTGTCAATGAAAACAAGAATGCAATTATTAAAAAAAAAAAACTCCGGCTTATTAAGAAATTACAACTCGGCTGATAATACTTATATTTATAAGTGAAATGTAGTTGGATACCCAAAAGATTTTTAAAAATCTTCTTTCTATAGCTTAAGCTTATCAGGAATTCTCTCTTGCCTTTTACTTCTGCTTAATTCCTTCTTTATGCTCAAGTTTTCTCCTTCCAGGTCTCGATCCCACACAAATATCAAACATTTCTAAGAAACATTCTTAAGAAAACTGAATCTTATAGTTTTTATACAACCAGATCAAACAGAGGCAGGTTTATTTGTATTAATTAGATGTGTAGCCAATTAAACTGATAAGTTATTTTTGTGTATAGACGTACTAAATCATATAAACTTCAATTAATTATCCTTCATGTAAACTGCTTAAATATCCCCTAGGTACCTCGAGGTGGGACTCGAACCCATAACCTTTCGTAATTATTTTTCTTTAAAAGTTAAGGAGGATGGGCCATGACCCACCACGAGGGCCCAATACGGCTTGGAGGGTATTAACGACTGCAAATGCAGCCGGGACAACGGCTTAACGTGCCTTCCGAAGCACGGAGGAGCTCGAGATAATAATTTTAAGTCACCCATCCCGTGAACGACTCTTGCGAAAGTTGCTTAACGACAACGACCGCGGGCCGCGGCGCTTATCCACTACGCCACCGAGCTACTGAATAGTTAAAAAATTCAAAGTAATTTAAATTTAAAATTAACCCTTAAAGTCTACCCTCTTCGTATCACTACTATTTACAAAGGTATCATTCGACAGTATCGGTATGCCTCATAATAACAAACTAAGTTTGTGCCCAAAACGAATACCATTTATTGTCAAAAAACTACGAGTATCAACGCCACTAATTTATATGAAATAGAGAGCGATTTCCTATTAAAGAGAATTATTTTTGGTTGTTTGATATGGAACCTTCAGCCTCAGTCAAATTGAAATATTATGTTCTTTTAGGGTATATGGCAACACGCTTGCTAAAACGAAAAATTCAGGCAGCCGAAGCCACTGGTGTGAAGATAGTTTTGTTATAAAACAGCCTCGAGAAGTTGAACTTATCGATGTAATATCATAGATGTTATATCAAATGAAACTTCAGAAGGGTAATAAAAGTTTTATTTCATTGAAGCTATATGTTATTCTCAATTTCGATTATGCTTATCACAGGATAAAACTACTGTACAAGATTAAATCGTCTAAGTCTCACAGCTTTATCCATAATGGGTCGTTGACATAACACTTTGGCACTGTTCCAAGTTCTTAAAAGGGACAGCTATTTATATAATTAACTTATACGGTAGGTAGTGTTGTCGTCTACATGTCTTCTTGAAGATACCTGTTCCTTTAATGCAAGTAGCCAGTCTCACATTAATAGGCTTACTGATAGCAATATCATAAACAGCTGTTTCACCACTGTTTTGTTATAGATTGTTTAAGCAATGATTAAATATCCAACAATCGTATTATTTAAACCGATGTACCAGTATAAACCTGAGCATTATGTGAGTACTCTCTGGATATAGCAAAATTTTCTAGCAACATTTCTGAGCTTCGTTTAGAAATTAGGTACTATTATTGCAAGTTCGTTCAAAAATTGCAATTTTTCAATAATAGAAGGTTTAAGTTTTTTATTCATTGATGCATTTTTATGTCTTCCGTATATTTTGCATTTATTTTTATCCTTTACACATTTTACAACTAAGGCATAGCTAAAGTATTATATTTAATCGTATTTATTCAAAAAGTATCATATTTTAATTTTTCAATCTTGATGCTCTGTATGAAATAAAACAGGGGAAAAAAAGCAGGCCTTGCCGAGTTTCTTGCTGGTTCTTCTCAGTACAAGGTCTCCCGCCATAAATTTACGAACCGATGGAGTAGCTCTCGACTTTTAGCCTAGACTGAATAAATAATTTTAATTCTGTTTTTTTTTTGTACAAATCAGTTCTTTTTTTTTAGTTTCCTCCTTCCCCCGTTGTGAAGGTGGTTCCGAACCTCTAAGGTAGAGACCCGAAAAAAAAGAGCTTGATTTCGTATAATGAAAAGTGGTTGGAAATAGATGTTTCCGATTGTTATTTTTTGGATATACTGTAATACTGGCTTGATGCATGCATTCATAGCATCATCGTGATCTGAATATTAACTTTAATTCCGTAGTTGTGTTTGGTAGATATATTGTTTAAAATTTATGGTTTTAAGAGATGCTTCTTTGTATTTAGACATAGTTTCTTTTGGATATTTTTTATCGATATTTTGTATATCAGTACAAAAATGAATCGCCGAAATGTATGTACGCGCATAACTTCCTAACGATTGCATCAAATTGGATAATCCTTTATTTATTTGTGTGTTCCTTACTGTCAGGACAGGACAAGATTTGTATTTAAGAAAATTTATAAAAAAAACTTCCTCGTCGCGACTGGAGAAATAATATCGGGCAGTACGAAGTTCGCCGAGTCAGCTAGTTATATAAAGTTTCACACATCCGGTTTCTGAATTGAGTATTTAAAGTTAAGCACGTCTCAAACTATACTTGAACGACACTTAAACAGTTTTTTCGTTACTGATTTTATTTTATTTCATGATCCATTGATAACAGCTTGACAAAAATTAGGAATTTTCGCCGCGTGATAAATAAAAAACCCTAAATTATTGAGAGTCAGTCGAGATTGGTACTTTTTTAGTTTCACCCAAAACAAGCCGTTGATATAAAAAGGACGTCAGCCGGCACACAAACGTGAGATTATGTTGGTTATCTCAAAACGCGGGGTAGTTGACCTGCTTATCATCAGGTTCCAAGCATCTTAACATTTTAAATGGGCTTATATGGACTAATCAGTGTCGTTATTCATGCAATGAAGTTATCAATGAGGAAATACGACACATATTTCATATTTTAGGTTTTGTTGAGTTTATGATTTAAGTGGAACGGATGGCTGAAAGTGATTGACTAATATCGAATATATTATAAATAAAAATAAATTAATAATCAAATTAAATATGTTATTTAAAAAGCCCTCGTTAAAATAAGTAGATTGTTATAACATATCCGATTACATAGTTATAAGAATGTGTCGTTAGGTGATTTTAGACTAAACTAAATAAAAAACTAAACTTAATTACAGTTTGATAAATAATTGCGAGAGGATCTATAATTAGGTTGCATTGTCATCTTTTTTACTTACAGAATTGAAAATTCATTCCAATGGGAGTATTATTTGAGCCAACCAAATGAATGCCATTTTTGATAATATGTATTTTTATCATAAAGATTTTGCCATGAAAAGTGACACCTAGCGGCATAAATCAAAACTATGAACATAAATTTTCCGGAAGTTTCACTACTTGGAGTGGCTGGAAAAAACCCTGAACAATTCACTGCACGCAAAGAAGATGTCACTGAAAAGCTGATTGCGTACAAATACATAGCTTACTTTAGTTTCACTTACTTTTTTAAGTTTTCTTTTATATATAGGTATGATTTATTTCTGTGGATTCAATGAAATCCAATTTTAAAGATGAATAATCCCTTACCTAAATTCAGAACAGAAAAGATAAAAATAGTATTTCTTAATAAGTAAACTTTTTAATCTTTTGATTTTTTATTCTTTTGTGCCAAAGTTTACAATAAATCAATGCCTTGGATACGATAGGCCTTGAATCAAACTATCGACGAAATTCGCCAAAAGGGTGGCTTGTATATTTTTATATTGATCACTAAAAATATTTTTTTAACATTGAAGGCCACCTCATAGACCCAGTACGGATTGGTGGGTGTTTATAGCTTAGATTTTCATAGACCGACCCATAACCAATTATTCTTTGAACTCAATCTGTGTACATTTCTTTTTAATCCGTGGTCCATTACATTGCTTGATTCATTAGAAGTGTAATCGATAAAACAATGAAAGGGCAACAGATTTTAGAACAATAACTAAATATAAATAGTGTCCCTATTATGGCATATTAAAATTCCTTCTTTAGTTAATATTTACTTACCTATCTATACATAGTATAAAACAAAATCGTATCCCGCTATCTGTTCGTCGAGATTTTTAAACTTTATAACGAATTTAAATGCTTAGCATTAACATACAGAGTGATTCAAGGGGTAGGTTTAAATATATTAAGTACAGGGCCAAGCGGAAAATTAATTTATAGCTAACACATAGCCATTATTATGCACAACATTGGTGTATACAACTTTACCACAATTACTTGATCGTAAAGATTTCTTTGTTTGAATTGAAAAATCTCCCAAACTACTGGACCGATTTTAAATATTCTTTCACCTACGAGAAGCTACATCACACGCTAGTGACATAGGCACAATTCGACTACAATTGCTACAATTTAACAATTACGTAGCGCATTCTGATGTCTTGACAATATGATTTATGTAAATATCCTTAGAAAGGTGTTTCTTTTCCTTCGTTCTTGTTGTCAGCCCAAAAATCCTGATATCCTAAACTAGTGGTGGAATAAGTTAAAGATTTTCAGAAGATTCAAAGTATAAGCAAAAAGTTGAATACAGATTATATTCATGTTCATTTTCAGTAAGATACAAATAATCGGATAATGCTAATTATCTATAGAATTAACATTTATTTATTTAATAACCTACACCAATATACGAAACAATTTTTCTAGTTATATCATTCCGCTGTAATCGATGCTGGTGTAAAACGACCTACGAGTCTCACCCCTTTTAAAAGCACTTTTGCTTTCCACTAATTACCGAGCACCCTGTAGCATAATAGTATAACTGAATATTTTAAATAAGTATAAATTGATTAAAATATATTTTAATCTCATACATATTTATTTATATACTAGCTGACCCGACAGACTTCGTCCTGTCAAAAAGATTTGTAATGTGGCAGTTTTTTTGCCTACGTATTTAAAAAAATTCTGATGCATTTTATCTCGCGTGCCGAAACTAATACAAAAGAAACGCGAGTTTCGGAACGCGACATTAAACTCCTCCAACTATGTATTCTGTGCTCCAACGCACACACGCACATTGTTTTGATAGATATGATCTTTGACGTTAGGAACACACCTACATTGCTTAGACAACAGTGAGTACTTGTAATTTAATATGAACTTTATACCATAGCAATAAAGCTCAAATTGACTACGTTTTAGTTACAAATCATTTGTATGGGAAAAAGAAAAGGGCTATTTTTAGGGTTTTTCCAGCAATAATTCTAATTTTTCTCACCGTAAAAACCATCCTTGAACTTCAACGAACATTTTAAAAAAAGATTTGGCCAAATTGGTCGAGGCGTTGTTGAGTTATGCGCTTACCAACACATTTTGCGATTCATTTTTATATATATAGACATACAAATATGATAAAAATTTACCTGACTAATGACACCATAGTTACTAAAACATATGAGTTACCAGACTAATGACAAGATACGATCAATCAATCAATCAATTTGATATTATAATTATTTAGAGTCCGAGAAGATTTTTTACAAACTCTATCTATATCTTTGTGCCAATAGGCCTAAAATAAATTATTTGCCATATGTATCAAATACTAATTAGGTATTGCGCGAAAATTGCCAATTTAATATATTTTATGTAACAAAATAATTTGATGTCAAAAGGGATGAAAGAAGTGTCCTAACTTCCTAACTTTTTGCCAGTAACAAAATAGAAAGTTTATCTTTGTTTTATAACAACGATTGTTGCTACTGTTAGTGTAATATAAAATGAATATTAAACTATGAAAACTATGTACAAAACAAACTAAATATAGCGAACCGATCAGTCGCCCATATTGCGGAAGCGTATGTTTTAGTAGATCATTTCGCTTAATTCTTCATTTTTCATTAATAATAAAAGGAAAACTATGGCAAATTTCCAATTTAGAATCATATTTTAACATACAATGTATATTAATTGATAAATTTACAAAATTCATTAGAATCTTCGTGGAAAATCCAACCACCTACGTATAGTGAGTGGCTAATCAAAGTAATGGCGTAAGATGATAACATCGCCCGCCACTTTCCGTCGGTCGAATAATTTGAATAATCAGACTTGTGCCATTCTATCCCTCAAGGGATCGTCGTTCACGAATGTGTCACAGTCGTGGACCGCGGTAGACGGTGTTCGCCTGCTTCCACCATGGATGTAAAGGTAACCCTTTCCAATTCACTGACTAGTTTTACTTTGCTAAGTTATGCTATTGTTTTAATATTCGGTTTGTTTTCAAACTTACTGTAAAGCGCTGGGGGTCTATGTTATATTGCACATGTTCGTTTTGTTCCATTTAAATGCTTTGTTATGTACACAAGTTATGCACTTCTGGCTAGTCGTGACTATAAGAAATTAAAAATTTATATTTAAAAAATATAAATAGGGAAGCAATATTTACTTTGTGGTGGTAAATTACTTGTAATTATTTTTTATCTGTTTTCTCGTGCGAAGTTACGGGTAAATTATATTCTATATTAATTAGGATGTACCATCCAGTAGGCGAAAGAATATTTATTATCCGTCCAGCTTAAATCCGAATTATAGTAAATTCAAATATACAACATTCATCCGAACATCTTTTATTTTCATTACGCTTCCTCATTGTCGTAGTAAATAAATACTATGAATAAGACATCAAAAAATGGGCGAAATAATAATAAACTAAAAAAACAATTAATAATCAGTATTTCTTCTCTCCTCTCCACAAACGAGTCATACAGTTATAGACGGGAATGTTATTTAAAATACATACTGAATCCTATCATTGGAAGATTAGTGCCTGAAGGGTTTTACAAGAAACCAAATAAGCACAGACAGATCACTAGGGTAAATAAATATAGATTTTTATTTCAAAATGCCTTTATACTACACTTTAATAGAAGTTGGTGTGTGAGAAAAAGAGAGTATAATAAACTCCACACTAAGTAAAATTGACATAATTTTCGGAATTTTAGGTTTTTAATAAACCAGTATGTAATAATATGTATACTATTTTTGTCTTTTAAGCAGGGTAAAGAGAAAGGTATCCTGAAACTGGAGCGTCGCCCTCGCATCATCGTCGAGGCGCGATCGGAGCTGACACCGCAGGTGAGTCAAGCTGTTACTAAATTCCAACGGATCACTAAACTAAATTATACTGTAGCATAATTACATCTTATTTTTAAGTGACAACGGGGTGAATTCATCGAAATAAAACCGACTTCAAAACAGTGACACAGGTAGTTACAAAAGAGTTGTAACGCGATTCATTAGCGCATAACGCCATCTAGTAATGCGAAAATGAACCGCGCCACTGCGCTCCGTAACACTATCAACAGCCCGCTTGCAACAGAAGTTTTTTGAATTGATTGCCACTTCCATCACTAAAAGTCAAATTAATGAAAAAGCTGTCGCTAAGTGATCTATGGGTTATGCGGTTCAACTTTTCTATTCTGTAACAATATCAGCCACAATATCATCATCGAGCGCAGCACTGTGACGCCATAAAGGTTCAATGAAATTATACCTTTGTTACCTTTTGAAGTAGGTTTTATTTGATTGAACCACTGAAATATATTTTTTGGATTGAACCTCTATGATGAGACGTCACCGCGTCCGATAACAACCTAAACGCTGTTTTTTAGCAGAATAGCACTATATAAAAAAAATCTTGAAAAACATAAAGTAAATATAAATAGTAAAGGAAATAATGCGACAGGGACAGCTATTAAGAGTAGAGCAACAAAGGCTTACTCGGAGATTCAGAGACTCGGCGTGCTGGTTGCCGGGGTTCCTCCCCAAGCTTAGGGGTTACCGGAGGGCTTTGGATATAAAAGTGTAGTTATCATGTATCATGGGATGACATTAGATGGAGCGCTATTTTCCCGCAACTTCGGCCGTGTAAATTATAGCCTATGTTACCCGCGTATGATGTAGCTTCCCGCAGGTGAAAGAATTTTCATGATCGGATCCACATCGGGTCAGTGTTTCCGAAGATTACTCCCTATGAAGAAACAGAAGAAACCATATCTCTCCCTTTAATTAAAGAACTGTATAACTGCAGTCGGTATTATCATTTCGTTGCGCCTAATATGTCTGTAGTAGTCTCAAGTATCCATCTGGTAACCAAAGAGCTCTACGTTATAAAAAATCTAAGCTTTGTACTTTATATGTATGACTTTACTCTACTAACGTCATCATCATCATCATCGTCGATCATCATCATCATCATCATCATCATCATCATCAGCCCTTTTACGTCCCCACTACAGGGGCTCAGGTCTTCCTTATGGATGTTTAAGGAGGATGGGACATGACCCTCCACGCTGGCCCAATGCGGATTGGAGGGTATTAAAGACTGCAAATGCAGCTCGAGATAATAATTTTTTGGTCACCCATGCCGTGACCGACCCTTGTAAAAGTTGCTTAGCGACAAAGATCGCGGGCCGCGGCGTTTATTCACTGCGCCACCGAGCTACTACTCTACTAACGTAGAAGGGCAATATTAGACAGTTAATAATTACTATAGAAATCGCACCGAGCGAGGCCGCAAACAGTGGCCAATTAATGAAATGTAACACCACCCGAACTACCCGCCCTGAAAGCCGTTCAATTTGCATCGCTAAATTAAACTAAAAACATGTTTAGTTCAGAAGAGGACAACTGTAAGGTAACCTTCACCAAAAACATATTACATTTTGATGACGTCATTAACCTCTAAATAACAAAAATCATCAGTTTAATGGTGCGCCACATTTAATAAACGTTGCATATTTAAAAATTATGCACAGACACTAAGATTAGTCGGTTATTATTATTTTTGAATGAAATCATTAAAAATGCTTTTACTTACTTTATTCATGTCATAGGCACAAGCTTGAACTGTACAGTAGACAAATAAATTCTCGAGTAACCAATAATGGTCTATTTTTGTCACATTAATTCATCCAGATGTCTTGCAGAATCAATCATCAATATATAATATTTATTAATCTCACAATTCGAATTATGTAATTTTAATTAATAAATAACACATTTGGTAAAAAAATGCAGTTTAACTAAGACTGACATATAAAGTGATGCTATTGTGTGAGTATACTATATCTGGATAAAAGCTGAATATTAGAGCTGAGCTTTTGCGGCGTATAATATGACTTTTAATAGCTGCGTTAGTCCAAGACTGTGTTGCTATCATAAGAGGTTCGCCATATTTGAATTAGCATGAAGTAATTTAATTATTTTTCTTAAGAAACCCTACAAAAAAGCGCCATATGATTTGAAATGATATAATTTAGCTTTAATGCATTGTCATCAAAACGAAACCTCTAAGTTCATACCTATGCAAAATTTAAACTTACCTAGCGTAGGCAACTGCTTTGAAATTCAGATTCAAGATCTTACCAATATGATAAAAGTGAAAGTTTTGTAGATTTGGATGTTTGTTACGCAGAAACTACTATAAAGAATTTAGACAAAATTTAGTATACAGATTATTCTCAGCCTGGTTAACTAGATCCGCAGAAGAACTAAAGTCACCGACATAGCCCAAAGAATTGCAAACCTCAAGTGGCAGTGGGCAGGGCACATCGCTCGCAGGACTGACGGCCGTTGGGGCGGTAAGGTCCTGGAGTGGCGACCGCGTACCGGGAGACGAGGTGTTGGCAGGCCCCCCACAAGGTGGACCGACGATCTGGTGAAGGTCGCGGGAAGCCGCTGGATGCGGGAAGCGCAGGACCGATCGTTTTGGAGATCTTTGGGGGAGGCCTATGCCCAGCAGTGGGCGTCTCTCGGCTGAAATGATGATGATACGCGTGCGAAGTCGCTGGCGATAAGATAGTTTATAATAAAAAATAATATATATTAATACGTATGAATGATTGGTGTCAATTAGCGTCTAACAAGACAGACTAATCATAAACTGAATATAAAGGCGATCATAACAGCAATAAATCGTTAGAAATCGATGCCAACGACGTTGACGGTGAAAAATCTGTACTTAATTATCGGGTGGGGGTGGTATTTAATGAAATGAAATGCTAGGGTTGTAACATATCTAAAGAATCTAAAATTACATCTAAACAAAATGTGTCAGTCTATACTCGAACTAGAGCACAACTATTCTATTAGGTACTTACTTCCAGCGATTCTATAATATAATCAGTGTTAATCTCCTCATCAAGTACAGCGCTGTAACAGCGTAGAGTTTCAATTAATTGTAGTGACTTTATTACCTTTTGATGCGAGTTCTATTTGATTGAACCTCTCTGCTATGACATGGCTCTGCTCGATGTCGGGGTCAGCGCTGGCTTTATTATGGAAAGCAAATCCGTTCTTGAGTTTTTTTTATTATTTTCATTAACTTCACATGCTGGTGTTCACTGCTTTTTCTAAAAAAAAAACAAAAATAAAAAAGTTAAAAACCACAAAGGTGATTAATAAATTTTAGAAACTTAATTTTCTGATCATCGTCTAAAGCAGCCCTGGAATGTCAATCAGTGAGCGATGCCGAGCTCATTTATCGGAGACTTACTGCCCCCGGTCACGGCACCGACCGTCAGACCCACATTTATTTACTCAATAACCGGCATCAACTTACGCAAGCATTCTTATTATAAGTGAATATTGAAAAACACAATGAAATATTCTCATGTGAAGTAGACCAGAAAGGTAGTAGGGTAGATGCCCCATTGTTTCTTCCCTACAACCAGATCTTCTGCCCTACACCACTTTGCCCTAGCATCTAACATATCTGACGGAAGATTCATCATCCACCGCAGAATGTGTGTAATTACAATATGTATAATACTAGCTTTGCTTACCTTGGCACCCTAGACGGATGAACCGTCATTCCGTTGAGCATACTTCATTACCTACGAGCTTACGTAACGCATAAGTATGTACTTCCGTTGCCCTACTCGACGGATCTTTCGTTAGATTAGCAACGAGTTTTTCATAAATCATCGTCTTAAAATGAACCCTCTATAATAATGGGTAAACCATATCTATATTTTATCCCGCCATCTCTCCAGTTCTCTTCTTTGAAGAGCATCAAAGAAGAGAGACTTGAAGACCTGTTCTAAATCTTTTTCAAAACGCTAATGTGACTCCACAGATACGCCTTCTTCGATCAATTATAATGGAAAGGAGATAGCACCTGAAAACGCCTCTGATACACAGATAATCTTTACGAATATGATTTTACAAATAAGTACAAATCGAAATTTTGTTCGTGCACCAATAGAGCAGGCCCTCTGTCATGTTGCTTTTTGTTCTGCACTCATAAATAGCTTTCTTGCTTTGAAAAATTGAGTACCAAGTCGTATGTATAAGAAATTTCAAATTAATTTATCCATTGCGCAGAAAAAATAGCTATAATGACTGCGAAGATCATGTGTGTCGCCTTGTTGAAAATCAACGTCGTCATCTTTGCATTTAGGTCAATTTCGATTTTGTCAAACTCCGAATATATAACTGGAGATAGGTATGTCAAATTGTGCCGCAGCAGGGCGTCGATGGATTCGCGTGATGACCGCCATAATGTTTCATTAGGTACAGTCACTAACAGAACATTAATTTATAAAGAGAACAATTTTTATACTACACAAATTTTTTAACTATAAGTTATTTACCAAAAAAAAAACTTATTAAATATAACCAGTTATTCACCTCGAGGTATATAAGTGGTAATAATAACGTTTTTGTAGATTTTTTAAATCTTTATTCTCGATATTCATGATCATTATCATCGGCCTATTACTGTCCCTACAGCTTTAGAGGGGAGTAAAAAAAATATTTCTATGATTAGGCAAGCAAGACCTAACTAACCTTTTTTTTTTGTATCATTGGTCTCGCTTCGAGCGCTCGTTTCCTACTGATTTTGACATACTGACATAACAAATTCGCCATTTCTGTTTCGCTCGAGTGCAACCTGGTATGAACCACTCGTCCTTTATCGAACTCTATGCGAGTGATAGAATTAACGTCAAAACTTGAAATTAATAAATGACATTTATGGCTGTTTTGCGTTTATTCATACTTTTTGTTTCTATATATGCAAAAGAATTTTTTCCATACAATACGAAGAAAAATAATCGATATTTCGAATCATGTTGGCAACCCAGATGAAGGACTCAAAAATATACTATACCAAATACAAAATTCCGTGCAAATGTAGTTTACATATGTTCAATCATCATGTTTTTGGTTTCGTCTCATCAAATAAAAAAAAACTCAATCATAATAAAGTTTGCATTCGCCTGTACACCAGCTACAGATACACATTTCTCACCGCGCCTCGAAATGAGAAGCTTTTCTACATTTATTTTCTATAATAAGGCAATCGCTACACTAAAGTAAAAAATTAAAATAGATTTTTAATACATAATACGTATTATAAAATCTAATTAAAATACACCCAAAGATATATAGTAGATTTCATTTCTAACTTTTTAATAAACTCAACGTGATCCTTAAAAAATATGTCGGTTATATTTTCTCGATGCAAAAGCTTCGCAGAGTAATTACTTTCGTAAACGTTAATGGCTCGCGGCACGGGAAACAGCCTACATTTATCGGAAACAAAGCTAAACTACTAAATGGAGTCGTAAATAGCCGAATTTAATGTAATAGTGTGCGCCGGGCCTTGCGAACATAGACGATTCTCGATAAGCACAGTCTTATCGCTGACCAGGTGAACGTCAGAACACTTAACGACCCGTGCCTGAAAATTAAATTAGTGTTTGAAAACAAGTTCGCATTTGGAATTCGGTTAGCAAAACAATGGAAATTAAATTAGGAATTACGGAGAGAAATTTTTAGAAATAGATAATTTTTTGTGTTAGTATAGATAAAACTTTTAAGTAAATCCACAAAAAAAAATCATAATTACCGTCATAAAAAGGGCAAAACATTTAATTTCACCGAACTCGTGTGGCACTATAATAAAATTAAAATCCGACGTGTACATTTAAGTGATAGTAATGGTCGACGTCGCAGAATTACGAGTAATGGAAATGGAATTAGCATTAGTTTAAATTAAAATCGTCCGGTACGTCGACGGGCAATTTACAAATTGCTTTAAATTATAATCACAATATCGCAGCGGGAATACCCAAAGTGAAAAACAAAAGGGCACTAAGTAACTGCGATTAAAGCAAATTAATTACAGATTTTGCTCAGATCAACTCTGTTGTAAGTCATAACTGTCCTTGTTGATGTTAAACTTTCCGAGAAAAGAAAATATTCTCGATTAGGTCACGTTCTAGAATATTGACAAGGATTCAAGATGGATACCCGAACGGTTCTGGTGAAAAACGAACTTTGGGAATCTAACTCAACCGATATCTCATAAAGCTGTCACAGTGTCAAAATATTGGAAACGTGCCATTTCATGCAGTTTTAAATTGTTGAAACAAAATAGAGATACGTATATACACATACCATCTGTGGTCCAAATCTTATCTAATTCATAAAAACCTCACGTGTGGCAGGGTTCATATGAGCACGCACCGATATCGCCGCAGCCATCCGTGGATAGGCTGTCTGTAACGTGGGCGGACCCTGGCAGTATGGCGTCATCTGGGGTCAATCTGTTCCACTTACCCTCTGATAATCCAGTCAGCAACGAAGTCAAGTTTTCACCATCGGCTGGAGGTAAGAAATCCGTTGGCCTGAATCAAAACCATGACAAATGTAAAGCTTCCTTTGTTATAATTATGTGTGATAACTATATGATATTTATATTCTAGTACTATATCGTCTTGTTTAATTCAATTTTGACAGAAAAGAAAATTATTTTGGATCTAATGTCGAGAGCTGAACGAGAACTAGAACATAGTCTGTTTGTAATCTGAAGAACGTGGACGCTCTCGAAATGGGAAGGTGTTTAAATAATGTTACAATACTTTAACATGATTTCTGCATCACATATGTAAACTTTCTAATCATAAAAGTACCTGTATAAAAAAATCTCATTTTAAAAATTATAAAAAAAGCTCAGCGTGCTCGTGTACGAAAGTCATTTGCACATCGTACTTTCAACTATTTTGTTTTCTTAAAAACTTTTTAATGTTACCAAAATTTAAGCATTTCTCTGATTTTGCGAATGTGTAATTTTTAATTTGCTTACTTTTCTGTGGCGTAATGCGAATTGATTTTATAAATTAATCGAATTTACCATCATCGTGTACAAGAACTTCAAAATTATCATTATGAACTCCTTCATCTGCATAAACATTAAAAGCTGATTCATAATTCACTATTAGGATAATTTGTGATGTCCAAAGCAAAACACTAAAATTAACCCTAGTAATTCAGCTTCACGGACATCAAAAAACAGTGTTATTGCAGAAGGTTCAGAAGATGAAGACTACTCGGCCAGCTTGAGTGCAGTTCTACGACAGCGACGGACCAGCGTGAGACGGTCAAGGAAGGGAAGGGCGAGGCGACCCTCGTCACCGTTCCTTCCTGATGAACCACGAGCCAGGAGACGGTCTTCCGTCCTCACCACCAGCTCCGGCGAGTAAGTTATGAGATGAAGTAACGTTGGTCATTACCTAATTGCTTTAAGCTGATTGCTTTAACCAGTGGATTTTTTTAATACATGATTTTCATTTTTCTTAGCTGCAATGGTAAGTGAATAAGTTATGTTTAAAAATATTTCTCTATTATATACAGCACGGCAATAACGATAGAGGATGGCCAGTCTACTAAAGATGTGGTTACCCAGGAACAGATATTCGAGAACATTCATTTGCACAAAGAAGTGTTGGGATCGGTGAAGCAGCAACCACTGGGCATGCGTCGTAAGCTGAAGATCGTTCACCAGGTATCGGTCTGAGAAATTTAAGAATTATACTTGACATGTTTACAGTTTCTTGCATATTTTGTTTTCATATTCTTAGGCCAAAACTTACATCAAGCGGCATGAGGGCCAGCTGCAGGAGAGACTAGCCCAGTCAAAGAGTACCAGAGACATCTATGCACGTTTCAACATACTTCTTGCTACAGTGAGTAATCTAATTATTTATAATTATGATTATTTGTGGTACAATTTCGGTATTATTTAATTGGTTTCTATTTGCAATATTAAATTATTCGATAAGTGAAATAAGTTGGTTTGTTTACAAGTTATCATAAGCAAATATTTCATGTCGAATTTTGTATTAAAGTCACTTAAGTAAATGATGTTACAGACGTAATATTGCAAAAAGGACTCCGATTCACAAACCAAAAATTAAGTAATACCATCTAATTTAGGGTTGTCAACCGCAACTTTATTACAAATGGCGAATGTAACGAATCTTTCAATAATCAATAAAGGCCATCACATCTCATATTGCAAACACTAGTGAGTCACAAAGTAACAATAGCAAAGCAGCTGCGATTATTACAAAATAACATATTAATCAAGTCGCCTTTAATCCGTCCTAGATTATAAAAACAACCAACAAATACCAGGACACCATAAAAACCAGGACATGTTTTGGGAAAACCGGACGATTAGCAACTATAATGTTATGATTTCTCGTGTATTTTTAACACAATAATTATGTATTTTAATTACATCATAGCCATGTTTCTCTTAAATTTCGCTCCACCGTTCGTTGGATCGAACTATCGTCTTGTATCGTGTTGCCAAGCCGCAGTAATAAACAATAAAGAAACAAACAAATTTAATGTTCGTTTACGATGTTGCTGTAACAGATTTTACGATTGATCAGAATTTTATGTTCTTTATTTTAATATAAAACCTGTCTTTCGAAGAATAAACTTTGTAGCAACGTAGTCTGGCCCTAACCTTTTCAAGGTCTCGCATATTACTAATATGCAACAAATTCTCAATTTTGCAACGTAAAGAGTAATTTTAAATGCGCTTTTAGCATTATTGTGGTATTCGAAATAATATTTCCGATGTTCAATTCATTAAAAACTCGAAGAAAGAACTCGTAAGCTTTTATTTAACTTACATATTATATATTTATTATGTTTTAAAGCAATTATTTTGCATACGGGTTAATTGCAAATAATATCATTTCACAATTTCATCTCAAAATGTAAAAATATTTGGAAATAGAGTTATGTAACCAAATATGAGATATTATAAATAAAATGGAATATTAACATCACATTCTTAATAATATATTATAGAAATTTGTAATACAATATGAAATAAGTCCAGCGCTTATCTGTTAACCGAGCACTAATTTCCTGGACTTGTTAATAATTTGCAAATACGTCAATAAGGAATAACATAAAAAATAATATGAGTGATTATATTCCATATCCGGTATGCTTTCTTCTACTGGCAATTTATAAAATTTTATAATACACTGGACCGCAAAGAAAACGGGTCGGTTAGAAAATCGTCAATATCATGAAAACTACTTAACTTATTTTTATGAAATAAAAACTAAATTAAAGATTATTTAATTGTAATTTATTGAATATAAAAAAAATACAAATTAAAAGTTGCCTATTTTCAATAAATGTCAAACGAATGAAAAAGGTAGTTTTTCTGACATTTTCGTAAATATGAATTCTATAAAGATGTGACGTTTTTACGCATGTTAGTATTTCGTGGTGCCTCCACGAGCTTGCAAAACTGCGGCTATGCGATTCGGCATACCTTCCACAAGGTTTTTAAGGCGATGCTGCGGAATGTTCTGCCATTCCTCGATCAAAGCTCCTTTCAATTCACGCAGCGTGATTGGCGGCGGATTCCGTTGACGTACACGTCGTCCCAGTTCGTCCCATGCATGTTCGATGGGGTTTAAGTCGGGGCTTCGTGCTGGCCACTCCATGCATGTGATACCTACTTCGTGAAAATAGTCGAACACTATCTGAGCTGTATGCGGGCGGGCGTTGTCTTGCATAAAAACAGCATTTTCGCCCATATCTACTAAAAATGGACCAACATAGTCATTAAGAATTTCATTCACATATCGTTCTGCTGTTAAACTGCCATTTTCTATCACTACTAGCTCAGTACGGCTTTCGGAAGAAATCCCAGCCCACACGTGTATAGAGCCACCGCCATATGGTACTTTTTCTTCTATACAAGCTTGGTTATAGCGCTCTCCCGGTCTTCGGTACACTCTTTTCCTCCCATCGTGCTTGTATAAACAGAATCTAGACTCGTCTGAAAACATAACTCTTGACCAGTCATCCAGAGTCCAAGTTTCGTGTTCTCTGCTATAACTCAGCCTTGAGTTTAAGTGGTGTCTTTCTAATTTTGGGCCATTTGCAGGCCTTAATGGTCTCAAATTTGCTTCAGCCAGACGTCGCCTTACTGTATCTGTACTCAGATAGTTTCCTCCAGCTCGTAAATGGTGATTTTTTACCTCAACGGCCGTAAGAAATCGATTTCTCAAAATTGTTGACACCATATAGCGATCCTCCCGCGCAGTCGTGCACCTCGTTCGGCCTGTTCCTGGTCTTCTTAGGTTGGATCCAGTTTTATGGAAACGCTGGAGTACCCGCTGAACTGTGGAAAGACTCACACCAACAGTTCTCGCTGTATTGCGCTGACTGCGCCCATCTTCAAGCATTGTCAGGATCCTGGTGCATTTTTCAGGGGTTAACGACATGATGACTTCAGAATACAATTTTTGTATGACAAACACACGATATTTATTGTAGTTTTTATGTCAAAACTAAAACAAATGCGAAACAAATGCTTTGATTTTTTTAGAACTAAATTGAAAAACAAACATTATCTTCATTGCCAGTTTTCTTACACAATTATCTAAAGTAAATAAAAAAGTTTAATATACTATGTTAAATAACATTAAATATTCTTTAATTGAGTTTTTATTTCATAAAGCTAGGTGAGGTAGTTTTCAAGTTATTGAAGTTTTTCTAACCGACCCGTTTTCTTTGCGGTCCAGTGTAGATGATTTATAATATAACGTTCTGTTGAATTTAACATGTGTTGCTAAGTAATGTTAAAATCTTTCAAGAAATGGCAACAACTGAAAAGGGAAGCAGCCAACACTTCGAACCTGCTCATTCCGTGGGAGTTGCGCATCAAAGAAATCGAATCCCACTTCGGATCAGTGGTGGCATCGTACTTCACCTTTCTTAGATGGCTGTTTTGGGTCAACTTGGTCATTGGGTTCATTTTGCTCGTTTTCGTTATTGTTCCTGAGGTTCGTAATACCTTCACACTAACTAAAAAGCTTCTTGTCATAATAGAATGATTAAGTAAAATGAAAAACATTACGTGGATAGTGAAAGAATAATAACTTACTACGTATAACTTAATTCAGTTAAGTTATGATTATTATCAATAACTTATGTTTTTTACATTTCATATGGCAAAACGTCCTAGTTTTATCAAATTACTATCAACTGATCATTAAAAAAATATAAATCAGTAATGAAAACTTGTTAAATTGACATATAAAATGGCTTAAGCACGGTTTGAGACGTGCTCAATTTGAAATTCTCAGTTCAGAAACCGGATGTGACATTAAATAATATTTTACAGTGCTTAACCGCAAACCCTCAACAAGACGGCGAACGAAAAATCATCATGAAGGACGAATTACAAAACGCCACTAACTTGCTCACCTTGTGGGAGTTTGAAGGGGTCCTCAAGTTTTCTCCAATCTTCTACGGTTACTACAGTAACGTGGAGAGGCCTCAGTACCGCATGCCCCTTGCCTACTTCCTCACCGGACTTGTTGTCTACATCTATAGCTTCGTTGCCACTTTGAGAAAGTTAGTTGACCTAATTCACTCACTTTTCAATGAATAACAATATAACAATTAACTTTGTGGATAATGAGGACCTTAACAATATCGTAATTAGCGTGTTTTGTCTGAGATATAGACATTTCGATTCCATCCATGAAGGAGCCCTGTGTCTCAGCAGTGGGTATTCGATAATTTTTTCATTCACGTTGGCACCAAGTGGGATTACACAGTATTTGAACCAGAACCAGATTATTACTACCATGTACATACTTAACATTTCTCGAGTTTCTGATGTTCATACAATCATTCTAATATCAATGACCATAAAAGTTATAAATAACTTATCTTTAACGAGCAACTACTCTAATTTGATCAGCCAAAGTTCTCGATTCGAACCGCGGCTTGTTCACCTGAGAAGTATTGATACAACTTTTATGATTCTTTTAGTAATAATTTTTTATTATAACATTACAATATTTTTACAGAATGGCGGAAAACTCTAGAATGTCAAAATTATCAGAGAAGGAAGACGAATGCATATTCTCCTGGAAGTTGTTCACCGGCTGGGATTTTATGATTGGGAACGCTGAGACTGCCCACAACAGAATAGCATCGGTCATTTTGGGATTCAAAGAGGCATTGCTTGAAGAAGCCGAGAAAAAAAAGGACTTAAGAAAGTAACAATCTATCTAATTTGTATTCGCGCATATAAATTTAAATCGTTATGATTTATGGACTTTGATAACATTATCAACAGTTCCATTTTAGCCTAATCTACTTGGTTTCACTTATTTATCTACTTGGTTACACCTATACTGTATATTAAATTACACTTGGTAAGAGCACGATCATTGGCGACCAGTCTACACCACCCCGTCGCACAAATGTTTAGCTATGTTTGCGGTGGCTTTCTTATTAATTTTTGATTGCATTTGATTGGATTACATTAGGGTATGTCTCTCAACTATATTTTTATTTATAAACGACTTCTAAAAAGGAGAAGGTTCTCAATTCGACTGTACGTTTTTACGCGATCACTCGTCAATTTTTAATCGGTTTTTTTATTTTTTTTTTTATTACTTGTGTCGGAATTTTGAAAAAAATAATATTTAAAACAACAACACTTATAGCTAAGACAAGAAAGAAAAGTCTAATTTTAAGTTAGTCATTGAAATGTAGACCATAAAAAAAAGATGGTAAAACCGGCGCATGAGCATGCTCAGCAACATTAATGATTTATAGTATGTAATTCTGTACCTTATATCCAGTTGGCGGATTATATCACTACGTGCTGTCGTCAACATCTGTGTGATGCTCCTGCTTGCTGTATCAGCCTACGCAGTTGTGACTGTGGTGTCTCGTTCTGATGACAACCCTAAACATCGCAGCTGGTTGCGCGAGAATGAGACAACTATAGTAGTCACCGTTATTTCTATCACATTCCCTGTATTCTTTGAACTCCTGGGCTTCTTGGAACATTATCATCCCCGGAAGCAGCTTCGTTTGCAGTTGGCCCGGTAATTCATCAGATAAAACAATTTTCATAATAAATAATAATAACCTAATTAATACCTATCTTATTTTTCTGAATAAAAAAAACGTTATTTTTTTTATTTTCAGAATCATGTTGTTGAACTTGCTCAATTTATACTCCTTAATATTTGCTTTATTTAGCAAAATTGAGGGAATGAGTAAAGACTTAGATTCTTTGAAACCTCCACTTAATATGAATGCTACAATTGTAAATAATACTCTTAATATTAGCGAAACAATAGTTCTCAATTTGCCGATGTCCTGTTTCGAAGAAAGAATATCCTGTGAACCTTGCAATGTACTCCCAACTTTATCAGTTAATTTAGTCACTAGCAAAGTTTCTTCTATAATTTTGGACACAACTACACCTTATCAACCAATACATAATAAAACTATTTTGCTCGAAAAAGATTCTAAAAAATCTCTGCCACAAAATGAGAAGAGAAAATACTTGGCAGAAAAACGAAATATGGATACTAATCGGCCAGTAACTCAGAGTTCAAAATCATATAGTACAATTAAAAGAAAGAAAGTAAAAGGAAATTTTTTGCCTCAAAATTTAATTGAAACTAATAAAAGTACCACAAATGAGATGGAGTCTACGACGTGGGATAATATTGATTTATTAATAAAGACTCAACTTGAGAGAGTTAGAAACATTAGTCAAAGTAGTGGCTTAGACGGCGATGAGTCCAATGAAGAATATGAGGAGGACTATAAAAATAGCACAGATTTATATAACTTTTCTACAATAACAGAAAGTGCAACGAATTTTGATGAAAATAGCACTGATACAATTTTTACTGAAGATGATGCATCAAATACAACAATCACATCTATCTTAAATAGTACTTCTATGACGCAAACAGAACAAACTATTTACGAAGATACAACTTATTACGAATTAAGTGTCTATACCGCCACTGAAAACATATCAAATTATAATAATGATTCTAACAATGAAAGCAGTGATTTTACATCCACGTCAACCAGTTCCACTGAAGAAATAACAAAAGGAAGTACTTCCACTGAAACATATAGTCAGGAAACACAAACAGCAGATTATACAACAGTAGCGAATGAATTATCTTCTACAAATATATATACTAATGATGCTACTGATGATAAAATATTGACAACCTTAAATGAAATAAATACTCCATATTATAATACTGATCAATCAATAATTACAACGGAAAGAGATATGACTACTTTTATAACCCCCACTGAACTAATACCAAGTGATACCACTTATGATTCTAATGATGAAACAACGATACAAGTTACAGAAGTTAGTCTTAATTACCCTGATACAAAATGTCCCACTTTTTTTAACTGTACATCCAATTGTGGCGGCCGGAACATAACACAAGTTTATTTTCTCTCAAATTGTAAGATAGTGGAAAAAAGATGCTACATAACAAAATGTGAATTAACTAAAGTAATTGAAACGAACAAGACAAACGAAACAGTTACTGACATTGCTTATATTGATGATCAAAATCGAAAAATGTACATTTTAACAACTGCAACAAAAAAGAAGTTACTAAAGTTATGCTGGGAAACAATGTTTGGGCAGGAGTTAGTTAAGCTAACGATGATGGATTTGGTAAATTCTTAATTAGATTTACATATATAATTATTGCATTTGCAGTCGTCAATACCCTCCAATCCGCATTGGGCCAGCGTGGAGGGTCATGGCCCATCCTCCTTAACCCTGAAGGAAGGCCTGAGCCCCTGCAGTGGGGACGTAAAAGGGCTGGTGATATAATTATTAATTGTGCGATATAAATGCTCACTCTAGTGTGTTGTACCAAATACAGTTTACGAATAAACAAATAATTCAACATGATTATTTTAAAGTATATTGATAATAGTAATATTTACAGAATGAAGTAATTGTATCTTTTGGTTGTGCAATGTGTGATCTGGATTGAGATTTTATTTGACTAATTACTGGATGTAGAATAGTCGGTATATGCCAACCTTCATCTCTATTAAAATATAGATGATTTTTAACTTCAGGAAATGGTCCGATACGTCAATAAAACTAAATAAAAAACGCGACGACACCGTTTAAAAGTTGTTTCATATAAAGACATGTTAATTTGCACTTAACATTTTTTTGTTCTTTTCAGGTATTTGTCCTACTGGGCACACTCTTTATGGATTTTTTTAGAGCCCTATTTGTAAGATACATGAACAGGTGCTGGTGCTGGGACTTGGAAAAGAAATTTCCAGAATATGGTGACTTCAAAATAGCAGAGAATATATTGCATCTTATAAACAACCAAGGGATGGTGTGGATGGGCATGTTTTTTTCTCCTGGCTTGGTCGTATTGAACGTTGTCAAGTTGATGATCATGATGTATCTTCGGTCTTGGGCTGTAATGACTTGTAATGTACCACACGAAGTTGTCTTCAGAGTATCTAAAAGCAACAATTTCTACTTGGCACTCTTACTTACTATGCTTTTTCTGTGTGTGTTACCTGTTGGATATACTATTGTTTGGGTAAAACCATCGTGGCACTGTGGACCATTCTCTGAATACGATAAAATTTTCCATATATTGACAAATAACATTTACAAAATTCTACCAAAATCATTAAATTTTGCATTGGAATACGCAGCTTCACCAGCAATAGTTATACCATTACTTGTACTACTAATACTTATAATATACTATCTTACATCATTGACAAATTCTTTGAGAGAGGCTAATAATGATCTCAAGGTAAACAAGTATTCAATGCATAAACTTTTCAAGCTTTTTATGAATTATTAACAGCATATTTTTTATTTAGATACAACTGCGACGTGAAAGGACAGAAGAGAGGCGAAAAATGTTTCAACTGGCTGATACCAGGCGGCGAGGTGGCTCATCAGCAATGGATAACACTCCTTTTGCGAGATGGAAAAAAGCTTTGCCATCTCTACCTATAAGTAAATCTATAGACTCCGATGAGCGTAAAACAGTAACTGGTGAAGATTCTACAGAACCTTCAAAAGCAACCAAGAAAAAAGGTATTCATAATTTGTTGTTTTTTAAGACTTATAAAAAAAAAGACTTATAAACTAATAAATTTAAGATATTACTCTCAATCTAAATTTATCATGATATTTTTAATTACCCATTTCTTGCATAGGTGGAATATTCGCAAAAATAGTAAGCATGGCACTTGACAAAAAACCAGAAGTGGAAACAGTGCCCGAGGTTATAAATATATCACAATCCTCCAACAATGTAGATGATGATACTGACACATGTTTCCATGAAACCCTCCCTAAAGAAGTATTGAAAATAAAAGACATTATATTTAAAAGTGCAGAAAATAAGAAAAAGAACAATGTTGAATTCAAAACACATAGTGACGAAAATAATAAAGTTACTAATACCAAAATTGTAAAGCTAAAATTCCAAAAACTTGATGACCATGCTGAGAGAAATGTCGCAGAAGAAAGACAAGATCCTGTTAAACAAAACCTAGAAAGTGACCCACCTGAAGAAATTACAAAAGTACATAAGAAATTTGATAAAAAACAAACGTCAGAGTCCAGTACACAATCAAAGCAATCAGATTCTATTGGTTCAGTTATACCAGTAATCAAAATTAGTATCACAGAAAGCGATGAAGAAGAGAAGCAAAATAAACAAGCAAAAATAAATACCGAAAAAGAACCGTCGCAATATAAACCAGACACCAAAACATCGGATCCTTCTGTATCAAGTTTGAAGAAAGTGAAAAAGAGTTGTTCCGATTTAAAAGCATTGAGAAGGCAGAGCAGTGTTGATAGTATCAACGAGCATAAAATGCCTAAAGAGAAAAAATCAGAGGACGGTCATAAATATCAATATTCCTTGTAGCTGTAGAATTTTCACTAGATATTAACAATGTTTAAAACCATAAACTAATAATTATTTGTCCTCTCTCACCCATATCAAAACCTTCCTTTTCCTTCGCCAGGCAAAGAAGAAAATATATATTAAAATGATAAATAATGAGTTAAATCTTGAGAAATCAAAGAAACAGCAGTCAATGATTCATCTCACGGCAAATACGAATGAACTATAAGTAGTATAAGAATTCGGCCGTGATATGAACTTGAATTGGTTAAAGAAATACCAATGCACCTTTTCTTTTTGTAAACACTTGGGATGAGAATTATCCCAATATGAAAATAATTTATATTGTATTACTATAAGATAATATTAGCTTAAATGCGGGTAGAAATTGAAAAATAATACCAATAAAGTTGTGCCATATACATATTTTATGAATGATTCAAATAATTATAGAATACGATATGTTTGGGTTACTGAGTAGACAGGATGCAGAGACAATATTCCTACAACATTTTAAATTAATATGGTTTTAAAAAATTTATCGTCACTAACTTATATTATTTGAATAACAAAATATTAAATAAAATTTTGGTTATAATATGACATTCTATGTAATACTGTTTTACCTTTGATCTTTATTTTTATTATGCTTTTAATGATAATTTTTAATAGTAATATATTATTTGTTATTGACGTTAAATTTAACTGTCACCCAGTTCCACAAATGTTATAAGTTTAAAATGTTTAAAGCCACTACTCACCCACCAAATAGCCATAAAAATGAAAAATAAGAAGAAGATAAGAAGAAGAAACAAATTTCCAAATTTAGAACATACATCAGAACTTAGTTGTCATTAAAAACTAATTAACGTTTGTGCATTCGACCTTATATCTATCTTTATTTTTATTAGAATTGAGTGAACACGAGACAAATAAGTGATTTCTATATAAATGACAGGAGTGACAGAAAAAAATACGTGAAAATATAAGCAGTGCACTTACAGCATAAGAAATAGTCTCATTTCATTGGTAGATAAACCAATGGCAAACGAATGAAAATTAACCACAGAAATCTAACTAATATGAGTGCTTCGTACAAACAGATCTCTTATTCCTCAGAATAAAGAAAATTTAAAAAGAAAGATGATATATAGATGCATAGTGTAATTATAATTACTGTATTTAATACAATATAAGTATATAATGGGCAATTTACGCTTTTGTAAAATTCATAAGTGATTATTAAACACACTAAAAACTATTATAAATGATAAAATTATATATATCTCTCCAAACGAGTACAAACTAGTCACTGTATTACAAAAGTCAGGTTCACAAACGCACACATGAAAATAAGCAAACAATGAAATAGCTTTTGAAAAAGGTATTAACGAAGCGGCTGGACTAGACACGCATCCTTCAGGTATACCTTTCAAATATCTTTCTAATTTTTGATATCTCTTAGACGCATATGTGCCTCCTTTGACGGGGGGGTCGGCTCGGCATCCTCTCTCATAATAGGTTGTTCCGACATCCAGAAATCTCTTGAAACAACCACTTGTATACTCACCTCCTGCGCAACGAGTCGTCATATTCTTTCTTTTGTAATGAAAACTTTGATCGGGACTTTCAAAATTTTCATAACATTCGTTTGTGCCAAGTTTTTCTTTGATATCGATCCCACATTTGTAACATCGCGTAGTTTTACTTCTCATTTGTGGCATGGTTAAACTGAGAATTGCCCACATATCTCTATGCTTCGTACTCAAAGTGTGCAATTTTGTACTAGTATAATCGATCCCAACCATGTAATATGGCGTGGCCGTTTGTCTAATTGGGGACATAGGTAATGTCTGAATTGCTGGCAAAAATGTTTGCTTAGTACTCAAAATGCGCACATTTTTACTATGAGTAGTATAATCGATCTCATACGTGTAACACGGCGTGGTTGTTTGTCTTGATGGAGACATAGATAATGTCAGAATTGCCCCCAAAAATGTATGCATAGTACTGCTAACACTCGCACTGTAAGTAGTGTAAGTACTAAATGGAGTGGCACTATTGTTATTATGTATTAAACGCAACAACAGCAAGCGTGTGGTTTCAGTGTTGTAAGTTGGCGTTTGTGATTGCTGAAATAATTCATTTATTTTTTCTAACGACTTCATTAGGCTTGAATTCGATGATAACTCTGACATAGCTCTTAACATATTTTCATCCATAAAAATCCTTGTGTCTCGATAGAACGTGGTACTCGGACGAATTGTTTGATTGTTATAGATCGGTTGTGATTTTTGAAGTAATTTGTTTATTTTCTCTGCTGACTTCATTCGGTTTATATTATATGATAGCTCCGATATAGCTCTTAAAAGCTTTTCGACATCAATTGTCGTTATTTTTCGATGGGGCAGAGTGGTCTCTTGATGTGAATTTGCGATGGCGTATAGTTTGTTAGTGCTCGATAAAATAGAACGTGTCGGTGTAAGACTAATCTTGCTAGGAAAATATGGTCGCCATGTTCTTTTTGGAGCTGAATTGGGCTGCGTGGATGTAGAAAACGCAGTTCGTTCTGGAAATGATCTGGTACTTAACACTAAAATAGGCAACGGAGTCCATGAGTAATCCGGAGTGATTACAGTTGCAGGTTTTGTCGGTCTATATGAAAATGAAAAATGAACTGAACTCCATCTAGTAGAAGGTTCACTTTCCTCATAATTAGCATAACCTCTGGATTCGGTGACAATGTTTGAATCGATTTCTTTTGAAACTGGTGGCGATGATGTTATCAATTTGATTTCGTTGATGTCTTCATAGTCCTCCGGTAATATTTCAATATCACGTTTTGTAGTATACTGGTATGGGTTTTTCAGGCGAGACAGTAAAGAGCAATCCATTAAAACTGGAATATACTCCACGATAACAATATAAGTGAAATGTGCACGATAAGAAAACATAATATAAAAAAATATATACTTGCAATTGTGTATATCAAAAATTGTCAAAATAACGATCATAAATCATGATGCATTCTCTTTGGTATGACGTTTATTTACATAAGCATTTTAACCGAACTAGACGTAAATAAATACTCTATTCTCAGAATAACTCAACATAGGTATTGATTTATCAACAAATAAACTCCATTCGGTTAAGCAAATATCAATTCTAATTAAATTATGCGATACATATCTGCATTAGACAAATGCATCAAATGGTAAACGGCAATTAAAGATTCATAAATTTCTCGGGGTGATTAAAGAATAAAATTGGGACCAGAGGGGTACGTGCGCGCGCGCCTCACTCCGCGCCGGACCGCCGCGCGTGCAACATGCCGCGCCCGATCGCGCTGTTACTGCTATGCGCGCTCGTCGCACGCGCAGAAATATTAACGCCGCCGTACGTAAACTTAGCACTGGGGAAGAAAATAACGGCGACTGCGACATGCGGCGATGAAGGGCCAGAATTATACTGCAAGCTGGTCGGCGCGAATGCTGACCACGACGAGCACGTGATACAGGGACAGGTAATATTTTAATTGTTTAGCTTCACTTGTTACTGGCAATCCACCCCGTCTTTGTTCGGGTATGTTCCATTCAAAAAGTTGAATGAAAGACTGATAATTTTGAATAGACATAATAGTTCCGGAGATAACCCTGCATACACAAACTACATACATAATTATTTTTTGAATGATTAATAATGTGCGAATTTAATTTTATATAATCTTAACAATAATCAACAGGATTTGTGTGTGTGAGAGTAAGCTTAAAAAGGCGATGCAGTAGCCAGAAACTTTATGTGTGCAGAGAAGAATCAATTCTCTGACTTTCTACCAATGATTTACACAGCAAATTATAAACTAATAGTTATTATTAATAGAGGACGCCTAGTGGTTGATAATTGCCCAGAAGAAAAATAATTATGGGGAGAACAGTGGTAATGACCAAAGAACCCTCTTTACCGCATCGGTGTGGATTACTATTCTTCTGTCTGCGATTGTTTGATTTTTACGCTGTAAAAAATATTATTATCTTCCAAGAAGCTTACGTCTATGCATACTTTTTAGATGTCTTCTCCTTTTCTCTCTAATTTTTTTTTCCTAGATTGCCATTATATTCTCAGTTTCACCGTAGAATAATAAACAAAAGATTAATGATTTTTTTTTTGTAATATATGTATGTTTGTTAAGCAGTTGATAGTATATATAACTTTATTATTCTAATTTTATATTTAAAAAGCAAAAAAGCCTGCCCTTCTTTATATAAATATTGACGCTTTATTCTTAAAAATGACTAGGTACAAAGATTTTGGTTGACGTATTATAATAAGTAATGTCTTTCTTAAATTAATGTAAATAATGACAGTATCTACTTCAAACAATAAAGATAAATGAACAATTAATTAAATTATAGATACAATTAATATTAACGTATTAAGTTGTTTTTGGTAAATCTATGTAGAAAGATAGAATTGGTAATTCAAAATTGTTTTGTTGAATGAATGTATTTAAATCGTGTAATGGTCTCCTACGTGAAGTTGGCAGTAATGTGGTGACGCAAAGTTCCATTAAAGTTAAAAAGAAGAAGAAGAACTAAAACATCATAAGTGCCAAACAATCATTTTATGCATATTTCAATTCAATTTTAAAGTTAATACAATGACAATTCTTGTGAAAGAAATCGTAACTTTAGTTAATCTTATTACTTTTTTCACAAGCCTATTTTTTATAATTCGAAAAAAAAATACATATAAAGTCTATAGAATGACAGCAACACAATTTTAAAGTGTATATTGTAATTCGGTTTTCACAATCGACGGGGCGTCGAACCCGCTATCGGGAGGTACAGGACGAGATAGCTTATCAGCCGGACGCTATCTGGGAGCCTGGGCTACCGACAGCTACCCGGCCCGGGACACATTGTTCGAAAATTAATCTTAAACTAATTGTAATTGGGGCGAGTTTCGAAAGTATTACACACACCAACAACGCCACAGAGATGAGACCTTTGATGAGACATTCACTCTTCGCATTCGTTATTGGGTCAATAGTGAACTAGTTGTTGGAATCTTAATAATAATTATTATTCAAATATATGTTAAATTTTGCATTCACAGTTTGTAAACTGAAAAATATCTTGGCAAATATTAATATATTTGCCAGAATATTTCTTAATTTTCTATACTAAAAATATTTTTTAAGCGAAAATCGCTTAAAAGAGTCCACTTTCTCAGTATAACATTGTAAATTCAAAATTGATCGAATGTAATAATTAGAACAAATTTTTCACCTTTATCGAAAGTTTAAATATTTGCCAAAATATTTCTTTCGGCTGTTTGGGTGGATGCCTGAACATTGATGAAAATACGCTCTGTAGTAGCGAAAAGTAACAAGTGCTTGAAAGATTCGTCAGTCCTGTTAGGTCCTGGGTAGCTCAGTGGTTAGAGCAGTCGCCCGGCAGCGAAAGGTCATGGGTTCAAGTCCTACCTCAGAGTGCCAGGGACAAAGTGGAATTTTTAAGCAATTTTCTTTAAGAATAAATATATAATGGTTTGCTTGCCTGCCGTTGATCAAACGCAGGCGTTGTCTCTTCTTCTGTAGTCGGCCCCTCATGACTGTGGGTCATGGTCGTTATGGAGTAATCCACATTTGTATTGAACTATTAGTCTCCGGCTTCTCTCCATCGCATATCTAATCGTTGAAACTATGGAGTTAGCCGCCAAAATCCTCGTGATAATGAAGAACTTGGCGGTAGATGATTTCTCTATTTGATCTGACAACCGGTTGATGATTGGCCTCTTGAACGTTTGCATTCAGTGTTGATAACCATGACAAGGTTTGGCTTTCATCACCTTTTCGTATTAAGTGTATACGTAGAAGTTCCGCTACTAAGCAAAAGTGTAATTAGTACACTGTGCTATAGGTAGTTATTCACTCTACTCCGTCCCAACCGATGTGCACGATTTCAGAGTGGCATGGGACAGATGGCCCAGTTTTGGCCGCCTCCATTTGGTCATTTGGGAATTAAAGGCAGTCTTATCTAACTTACATATAGGTAAATATAATACTATACTGTACACGGGTTTTAAAATGTTGAATTGTGGCAAAGCTTAGACCATTGCCAGCTGCGAAATATCAAAACTCACTTATTCATAATTTTTGAAATGACCAAAATCGGGTGAAATGCCTTTATATTTAATAAAACATTCACGTACTAGCTGTTTGCCCGTGACTTCACCTGCGCAAATTATAGTTTATGTCACCCGCGTACAATGTAACTACTCATAGGTGAATGAATTTTCAAAATCGATCCAGGAGCCTATTCAAGCCTATTCACTGCAAACAAACGTTCAAATTAACAGCGCCTCTGTGTCATTTTGCCCATCTTGAAATGGCACAGGGGCCATCGCTGAGATAGGGTCCATGTTGACCACTCTGTTACTACATGAAAATGTTGTATTTTTTTATGTTTGTATTTTTTTTTATTTTTTACTTCCTTCTTCTCTTATACATTATCATTGTATCTGTTCATGTAAGGTGTGCTCAATAAACTTTTTTTCTTTTTTTCTTTCTTTCAAATCTTTCCTCTTCATAGTATTATAGCATAATCACAATATTGACAAGGGTCATCACTATCTAGCAGATACCTGCAAACATTTGACTTCTGGACATAGTCTTGCATGAATGCATGACTATATGAAATGTTATGTCTGATAAGATTCTATAAACATTTGCAAATATGTTGTAACTTGGCAACATATCCTTGCCGGAAAAATATTGCGAATTAATTTGTAGGTATATAGGAGCATTACATGGGACAAAAAAATAGTACGACTATGACTTAGCAACAACGAATCTTATCATGAACCTTTGACCATTGAGGTTTTCATTAATTAAACCCTCAGACCATTGAGTTTATTCTAATTCTGTGTAGAAATTCGGTCAGGAAACTTAAGTTATATGATAACAATCCCACATTTTAATGAATTGAAAGTGTTATCATTTGACCTATGACTGTGTAAAGTGTATATATTCTTTGATCTCGGTGAGTTGTTAACTGTAAACGCTTGAACAACGTCAATGACAAGTTGTAAATGTGTATGTATTGAGTTCAACGACAGTACTTACATGTATCCGTCTAATGTCTTCCTGCTTACGACAGCGGGAATTGGATGCCACATCAATAGTTTTAAGACTAACACCCATTTTCACTAACCTAGAACAAGGCATAGCTTAACTAGAAAACGCCTAATATTACGAATCACGTAAGTAGATAGTTTAATTCCAAATAAATATTGTTTTCTTTTATCCCTTGACATAACCTGTCATATATGGAAACGCCTAGCGTTAGGCGAAAACGAGCATAAATATCTTTGTTTTGATTGAATGTCATGTTTTTTAAATATATAAAAATATGGCTACAAAACATTATTTTATTAAAAAAAAGCTATATCGCTACGGCGAACAGTGTAACCAAGTAAAGCTGATATATGATACTGTTCTAAAACGGCTTGACTAATTTTGATACAATTTTGTATGTATATTCAGTAGGTTTGAGAATAGTATTTTATAAATATTACATATGTAACGATAGACGATGTATTCTTAATCCCATTAATTTTAGATGAAGGCTAGGCGGACTTTCCGCAACCACCATTTCCGCAACCACCGGGGGTTGCGGAAATGTAAACTATAAATTAATAATGAATGAGATCACTCGCGCAGCAGATTAAGATTACTATTAAGCACTTTTATACAGAGTAGCTCTACTTCGTGCTTTGGAAGGCATGTTAGGTTGGTCCCGGCTGCATTTGCAATCGTTAATAGCCTCCAATACGCATTGAACCAGCTTGTAGGGTCATAACCCATCCACTACACACAAAAAAAAGCTTTTACTGCCTGTCTTTACTACCTAATGAAGGATGTTATCTCTGTGGATATGTTGCACGCATGTAATAGTAGGTAAACAAAACGACTTCTGGAATGGAAACCACTATCAGATAACACGTGGGTAGTGATCAAATGCTTAAAAACACAAAATAATAGCATGGAGGAACATGGAGGAGGCCTGTGTTCAAGTATGGACATAAAACGCCCTAATATGATGATGATGAAGAAGAAATGGATAACATCAAATTTCTCTCAATAAAAAAAATGTATTAATTATTATTATAAACCACCTGGCCCAACGCCATATGCCAGTTTTTTTAAATTATATCTTTTTTAAATTTTCTTATATACAGACCTTTATGGGCACCTCATAGAGTTGTAACGTCAAATTTACTAAGGTTTATGCACACGTAGTCATACTATTAACTTAATGAATATTGTACAAAATTCAGCTAATATCCAATTAACTGCTTGATAAAATATTTTATGCGGAATAAAATGCTAACATGTTATAAATCAAAAACGTTTAGCTGGACTGTTAGAAACTTTGGAACGAAAGGCAAAGACGTTATCTTTAGAACCTACAAAGTCTGTCCAAGTCTTATGTAAGATATTGACTGTTACAATTTAAACTT